GCGTAAATATTGATCAGTGCATAAGTTCGTGCCCGATTTCAAGTGCAAACTAAAATTGAAATTTTTTGAAGAAAGCGCTTTTATTAATCAATTATGTATTCGCCATCATGTTCGGCAATCCACTCCCAACGTTCAACCAATTTACGGATGCCTGACTCATAGAAATCGGGCGGTTTCTCGTTAAAAAAAAGGGTCAAGGTGGTTTTTGACGTCTTCCACATTTTTAAATTTTTTCCATTCAAATTATTCTGCAGCGATCGAAACAAATGATAATCAGAAGGTGCAATGTCGGATGAATATGGGGGATGCGGCATAATTTCCCAATTCATCTCCTTCAGTTCGGCCAGGGTCGGTTTTGCAACATGTGGCGCCTACTGTTTTTCCTTTGCGGAGTTCGAATAACATAATATGACGCATATGATCTTTTTCGTTGTGCATCTTCCACGCGTCTTTTCACTAAGCAACTCAAATCAAAATGAAGTTATTTTATGCTTGATTTACAGTTCGGACTGTCACCTTTCCAACGATATATAATATGTATATATTTCTTTCACGAGCGCCACTCTCAAACGATTCGAACGGCATCCAGCGGAATCGGGCACGAACTTATGCACTCATCCAATAATTACACAACTTTAGGCACTGGCTAATTATTTCCTGCCATTATTGTGAGCAATGGAATTTATTTTCTCATTGATACAGACTTACAATCTAATATTTTTTGTGTTTCCTTTTCCCTGCAGGTGCGGTTAACGGCTGCGATGCCTAAGGGCATCGGAATAAGACCAAAGAGTTATGCCTAATTTTTGATACGAGTCTAGTGCTCACCTGAATATTCTAAATTCTCCAACAACCGCTTAGGCAGGGAAATTTTGAAATTTCTATATAAATTTAAAATGCGTTTCAAATGGCGGCCACAGTAGCCCGAATCCTGAGCAGACCAACAACCAACCATTTAAATACCTTTCTTGGATTGAAATGACGGAGTGAGTTGATTCAACCATGTTCATCTGATCACCTGTTTGTACGCAAATAAGTCTTCTCAGTTTTTGGGCACTAGTACATTTAAACAATCATTTTGAACCGGCCAGATCGGACCACTATAGCATGCACTCAACCGATTTTTGAGATTTGAAATTTTAGGTCATAAATTTGTTCAGAAAGTGTCTAAGAATGTGAAATTCAGTATATAAATAAATATTGGTAGCGAAAATTAGCGAAATCGAAGAACTATATAATATAGCCCCCAACAACCGATTCGAACTTTCGAATATAATATTAATAAAATAAAATAAATAATTAAGTAAAATGAAAAAAATCATGTGCCAGTGCGAAAAAAGAATTCAAAGCTGAAAAATTAAATTACATTGATCAAATGATTAAAAACAAAAAAGCGAGACAAATTATATTGGATGAGTGCATAAGTTCGTGCCCGATTCCGCTGGNACTTGAAATCGGGCACGAACTTATGCACTCATCCAATATGAACTCAAACAGACATTTCAACTTTCAAATATAGTGAGATAAACTCAATTCCTCTTGAATGCAATCAACTAAATAGTTTTTTTTTTAAACAATTTTAGCAATTTTCTTAAACTTTTCCACGCCTGCTCGTGGCTATTTTCCACTTACTTCCACTTTCCATTAAACTAATCATACATAAAAGCTCTCTGTACTCAGAAGACGTTTAATGGTTCAAAGCGGCGCAACAAAACGTCTGAATGCACGATTATTTGCGCTATCTCGCAAAAGGCCAATCAACTTAATTAAATACTACAGTGCAATTTGATGAAATTTATTTTTACGCACGCAAACCTTTCTTCATTTCATTTTCATTTCTCTTATTATTTAGCTTTTGTTGTAATTGCAAATACATATTGGTGTGACATGAAATGCAAATTTAGAAACGCATTCTCATACTCGGTAAGAATGTGAATTTATTGAGATCGAACTTGAGAATGCCTTGCATCTGGTAGAGTTAAAATTAACTGAAGAATTTACATTTTAACCAACCCAAATGCGAAACAAACACACACACACACATACACACACACACCATTGAACTGGTTTAAAAAATTATGATCAGCATTCAAGTTTTCTTATTTCAATAAAATTCTTTTTCTTCTGCTCACATTTCCCTTTGAAACTTTCACCGGTTTTCCCCCGATGTTTACTCCTTGACACAGTTAATGGTGTGCCATCATAATTGTATAGGCAAATATACGTGTACCTATAAGGTATTGACTATTAACACCTGTTATTGATGGCTTTAAAATGGTATCTATGTGTATTTGGGTGTTTGTAGAACATTTACACCCTTACATCCATCGATGCATCAATCAATCAATCAATGTCATTGTCATTTCGAACTCTTCTTATCATTGGTTGCCATTACAAACCCTTTCAAATGGTTACATACACGTATTAATGTATGTGTGTGTGTGTGTCTAATACCTGCCAAGTATCGATCACATGTGACTTTACACAATACGCTTGTAAGTATTCGTTCAACGCTTTTAAGTCCACTTAATATCAAGGTAAATATTAGCACTTCGCTCTTTATGACTTATCATTGTCTTGTTGTTGTTATTTTTCACTGCTACGCTTTGCCTGCCTGCCACATACACGTACATGCATTTTCAATTTGCCACTTGGCACATCCTCAATTTTAACGTATCTTTCTTAATCGTCTAACTCTTCATAATATTTACTAAAATAAATATTATAGTTATTATCAATTGAAGTGTGTTTGAGTGGGAAAAAAGATATCAAAATGAATATTACTTACTTGCTAATCAATCATTCTAAAATCTGGAATTAGTCATGTTTGGAAACTTGTTAAAATTTTATCGAGTATTTATAAATATTTTTTATTTTAATTTTTATTGTATTTCCCCCCTTTGCTCATTTTGGGCAACCATTATTTTCGCTAGCTGCCCCATTCACAAACATACTAACCGAATGTGCATACAACTTTTAATGGATAAAAACATTATTTCACGCTAAATTAACTAATATTTTGAAGGGCATATTTTTAGACTTGTGGTTTTCTAGAAGAAATAAAACGAATATAATTCAATATTATGGCCAAGAATTCAACTTTATTATAAATATATGGGCTTGTCATTATGTTCTGATGATGATGACTTTGGGCAAGTAATCCCCGCGTCCGGCTGGAACGAATTCCATACGAGCAGTCTGATTTTCGACCACTTTTTTGAAGCAATTTGGCGCGATTGCCAGCAATAATGCACCAAATATACGCTTAAAGGGCGTCAACCGCCTCGGTCTTATCTGCCTAAGCAAACGATATCGCCTCACAAAAATCGTCAAGCGGTGTTAAGCCGCGCGATCTTGGAAGCCAAGTCATATTCCCCAAACACCAGATAATGCGCTCAGCAAAAGTCTCTTTCATTAAATTGAAAGTTTCGTTGGTTGTATGGCATGTAGCGCCGCATTGTTAGTCGACATCAACATGCTCTAATTCTGACACGACAAAGTCATTAATTATGGCTATATAGCGTTCCCCATTGACTGCTAAATTCAGATCGGCTTCATTATTAATGAAATATGGACCCTTGACTCCTTTCGCCCTTAAAACAGTGACTTTTTGGTGATGTAACGGCTTCTGTTTATTGTAAAAATCAGGTTCGGCGACCATCTCGCATTGGGCTCGTTGGTGTTCGGCTTCAATTTTTGTACGAGTTGGATTTTGTAAGCCTGCAAACCAAGATGTTTCGGCAAAATCTTCTATAAAATGAATGTGCAACGCGCCAATTGTTGCAGTCGATGGTGAATGCATTCATTTCTTCTTCGATATTCTACTCCACTGTAACAATAACGTCTTCGATGTAGACTCACTGCTGGGCGGGAATAAATCAAGTAACAGCTGTCAAAAATATCAGCTCCGAAAACCACATGTCTTGAATAATACCCTTTATTCATTTTTATTAAGTGTTTTCGAAAACTAACAACAACAATAATTCGTTGATGTTCAAATAGTTTGAATTTCTTTATGTTTCAATTTCTTTCGTTTGAAGCTTTAAATATTAACCTTAAATACAATTTGCACGCTTAATTCCATTTTCGCGTATACCTCTGCTCTCTGGCAACAATCTCTCTCTTAACCTGCTCAAAATAAATTTAAAAAAATGCATTACAGGAACTCTCTTACCGTGAAGCTCTCGTCTCTTTTGAAAAGAAAATTATTCAGTTTTATTTTTTTAAATCAATATTGCATAAAATCAGGCGCATGTTAAGCGAGGTAAAGAAAATTCAGAAATATTTTTAAAAATTCTAATTAAAAAGCACAGATACCTTCGCTCACTTTTTGGCAATTTTAGAATGAGGGATGATGAATCTTTTTTTATTAAACATAGCTCCGTGCTTATCAATAAATTGCAATTCATTTGTTTAGGTCATGAGTAACCGTTGTATAGAAAAAATGATATGATAAAATCCCGCTGAAATTATATTTAAAATGCAGCCAAGAGGTTATTCACGACTTTGATTACCCGATATTGATTATTCCCCATATCAGTAAATTAGGTTTAATTTTATAGCAGATCTTATCACCTGTTACCTAGAAATAAAGCTTGCAAATAAGGCAAAACTTTTCCACATGAAAGCTTTAGTGTAGATGAAAGCATATTTTTAAATCCCGAAGAGAGCTTAATTGGCTTTGAATGCAACCCAAAGCTCATGCGACATGCATATACAGTTGTGTGTGTGCGTAAGCTGCTACCTTCCGTTGTTAAAAAAAAAAAACATTTTTTTGCGGCAAAAGTATGTTGAATGCCTATTGTTTTTTATCTGCATTCCATACTTCGCTCTTTCATGTCTTGAATTTTTTATTACCTTATTTGTATTTTCTATATATTGTCTAAATTAACGCATAACCCCTTTTGGCATGATCTCTCCCGGCATAAAATATTTCTAATTTCTTTACTTAACATTTAATTAATTTTCATTGTCTCTCTACCTCTCTCCTCCTACTCTAGCATCTCAATCGCTACGGAGATTCTATGGGTTCATTAGCACATCGAGCGCTCCTACAATATGTGGACTCTAATGACCTATCCGGTTTGCGCGCTATCTTAGATAGTCGACATTTATCTGTCGATGATCGTGATGAGGTGAGTTCCAATGCGACGCTTACAATTTACCTCAGGCTTAACTAAAGCTTATTCGTTTCAATGAAAGCTTCGTAAAAGATCAACAAAGTTTTTAAGACCAAATTGTTTTTTACTCTTTTTCCATCGTAGAATGGCACCACTGGACTTATGGTTGTTGCTGGACGTGGCTTAACTGTTTTTGTGCGCGAATTTTTGGCTCGCGGCGCAGATGTTCAAGCGGAGGACAATGACAATTGGACGGCACTGCTGTGCGCTGCCAAAAACGGTCATTTCGATATCGTTCAGCTACTCATCGATCATGGCGCCGATATTGAGCATCGTGATATGGTAAATATTATATAACATAGCATGTAGCCTCCTGCACACCCTCCTTTACATATAATATCCTTATCTAACTCAGGGCGGTTGGACGGCATTGATGTGGGCTGCTTACCGTGGGCACACGGATCTGGTGCGTTTCCTACTGGAGAAAGGTGCTGATGTGAATGTACATGGCAATTATCATTTAGGGCCACTGCTCTGGGCAGCCGGTCGTGGTTTTAGGGATATTGTGGAACTCCTGGTGCAACGTGGTGCTAAGGTTAATGTCGGTGATAAGTATGGCACAACAGCGCTTGTGTGGGCATGCCGCAAAGGTAATGCCGAGATTGTCGATACGCTGCTGAAGGCCGGTGCTAATGTTGACACGGCGGGCATGTATTCGTGGACGCCGCTGCTGGTGGCCACCTCAGGCGGACATACGGACTGTGTCTCCTCGCTGCTGGAAAAGAAACCAAATGTTAATGCATTGGATAAGGACGGCATGACGGCGTTGGCGATTGCGAGTCGTGAGGGCTTCCAGGTTCGTTGATGGGCGGCAAGTCTATGAGAGTCCAAATTCAACAATTCGAAAAATAATTATTTTTATCTTTACTGTTTGCTTTGCTTTCTCGCAGGAAATTTGTGCGTCTCTAATCGCAGCTGGTGCATACATCAACATTCAAGACCGCGCCGGCGACACACCGCTTATACATGCCGTCAAAGGTGGACATCGTGGCGTCGTTGAAGCTCTGCTTAAAAAACACGCTGATGTCGATATCCAAGGCAAGGATCGAAAAACTGCTATATACACTGCGGTGGAAAAAGGCCACACACACATTGTCAAAATCCTCCTATCCACCAATCCCGATCTCGAGGCGCCGACTAAAGACGGCGACACGGCTTTGCTACGTGCCGTCCGTAACCGCAATTTGGAAATCGTGCAAATGCTGCTCGATCGCAAAGCGAAAGTCACAGCCAGCGATAAGCGTGGCGACACCTGCTTACATATTGCCATGCGCGCACGGTCCAAGGCGATTGTGGAGGCCTTACTGCGTAACCCGAAGAACAGTCAGCTATTGTACAGAGCAAATAAGGCTGGTGAGACACCATACAATATTGATACCATACATCAGAAGACCATACTGGGACAAGTGTTTGGTGCTCGTCGTCTCAACACAAACGAAGACTCGGAAGGCATGCTCGGCTATGAACTGTATTCATCCGCTTTGGCCGATGTACTGAGCGAGCCCACACTAACGACGCCCATCACGGTTGGTCTGTATGCCAAGTGGGGTAGTGGTAAGAGTTTTCTACTCAATAAACTCCGCGATGAGATGAACAACTTCGCACGCCAATGGGCGGAACCACCCATCAATACTAACGGTTTGCTGTTTCTCGTTAACCTGCACATAGCGCTCTTACTTGGCACTATCGTCGGATTGTCCGCGTGGTCTGCCATGTGGGGCGGTATAACAGCGTTGCTCTACCTTGTGCTTACCTACCTCCTGCTCGCCAGTATTAAGTATGCCAACAACCACATGGACGTGTACTGGGCATATTCGGTGCAACATGGTATTTCGAAACGCATCGGACGACTGCGTCTGATTCTACAAGTGGCATTCTGTCATCCGCCAGGCGCACAAGCAGACGCTCAAGCTAAACCGGTGCGTTTCCATTTTGCAGAGGCGAGCAGCGCCTCACCCACCGGCGAAAGCTCTGTAACACATATGTTGGCAGCGCTGTTTGAGGCCATCGAAAGCCACTATGGTTGGTTATCGACACGTCTGTATCGCGCGTTTCGTCCCAAAGCGGTGAAGGCGACATCCGGCTGGCGGTGGCGTCGCATGTGCTGTTTGCCAATTGTGATCGTTTTCGAACTATGTTTATTAACGCTCGTGACGGGTATTTCACTTGTGGTGGCTTACTTCACGTACGCTTCAGATGAGGAGAGAGAGGGGATACTCGTAACAATTTATGTGATTTGCGCGATTTTGGTGACAATTATCTGTACGAATTTGCATGTGCTGGCCAAGGCGTTCGGTTCGCTGTTTATTTCTCAAGGTCGGCATTTGCGAAAGTCGGTGCGCCATAACGAGGGTGCGCCGCTGACCGCTTTGGGTGCTGAGGTGGCACTGATGACCGATATGGTCAAGGTAAGACAATTCTTATACTTCTTTTAAAAGAATTTAATACTTATAAATTTCCAAATATCTCTGCTTTCGTAGTGCCTCGATGCCTTCACTAATCAACAAAGTCGTCTTGTGGGCGTGGTTGACGCGCTGGACTCTTGTGATACGGAGCGCATCCTGTGCGTACTCAACGCCGTACAAACTCTACTCTCCTCGCCGAATCGACCATTCGTTCTACTCATCGCTGTCGATCCTCATGTCATTGCCAAGGCAGCCGAGGCCAACAGTAGGCGTCTCTTCACCGAGGGTGGCATCGGCGGACACGACTTTCTGCGCAATCTGGTGCACTTGCCGGTGTATTTGCAGAACTCAGGTCTGCGCAAAGTGCAACGTGCTCAAATGACTGCTATGCTCTTCAAACGCAACTACAGCGAATTTCCCAACGAAGATGGACCGACTCTCGGTCATTCTGTGTCTGCACGTCGATTATCGAATGCATCGGAGATCATGTCCAGTCAAGAAAAGTTGCGTACCTCGCACAACCCGGGACGTAGTGGCGGCAAGAAGTTGCGTCTGTCGGAGTCCGTGGCTAGTTCAATTGGTTCGAATTTGCATCGGTTGGGCCAAAATCCGCAGGGTGTACTCGATCTGTCGCGCATCATGCTAACCGATGACTACTTCAGCGATGTGAATCCGCGCAGCATGCGTCGACTGATGAACGTCATCTACATAACAGGTATGTTGGTCGATAGGTTGATTGGTTTACAGAACTTCGCAAGAACTTTCAAATAAATATTTCGTTTTTTTTTTTCTAGTGCGTCTCTTGAAAGCATTCCAAATAGACTTTAGTTGGTATCGTTTAAGTTCATGGATAAATTTAACCGAGCAGTGGCCATTACGCGCCAGCATGATCGTATTGCACCACGACAACTATATGGATCAGTACGACGACAATTTGTCACTTCAGGCGGTCTATGAAAAGTGCGTGAAGCCCTCATATTTACAATATTACCATATTACATAATTCTATAACTCCTTTGATTATTACAGAGTTCGTCCGAAAATCGCCTGTCTGCGCGAAGCTGCGCCATTACTTGAGCTCGATCGTGATGAACGCAAATTGGATGCCTTCTTGCAGTTACATAAATCGGATTTGCTGGTGGCGGACTTGCGTATATTCCTGCCGTTCACTATCAATCTGGATCCGTACTTGAGAAAAGTGCTGAAAGGTTTGGAATTATCACATCGATTATTGACTGTATAACTGTACTTAATTTTTATTTTTATTTGTTTCATTTTTCGCAGAGGACCAGCAATCGATCGAAGATGAAGGCACTCTAGTGCTGCAAAACAAGCCGAGTGTTAATCCTGTCGTACGCATACCCCCGCCGACACCGACGTATGTGCCTTCACCCGCTGCTTATCCGCCGTATCAACTGTTTCACAACGACTTTGAGCTGAGACATCGAACCAGTACAGCCTCAGAGCCGGCATTGACACCGCTCATAGGCTCGCCAAGTGAATCTTTTGGTGTAAGTGGCTTATTAATTTCTATTTTTATACCAAAAGAAAGACCTACAGAAAGGAGCAAAAGAAAATATTATTTTGGCCTTGAAATCTGAACAATATTTCTTTTTTTTTTTTGTAAAAATTGGTCCTGAAGAATGTAAAACTTTTATAAAGTAATATTTCTGACATAAAAAAGTTTTCAATCAACCGTTGATTTCTTTAAAAAAGTTTCATTCCAATTTGTTTTAAGATTTAATCATACTTTTTACTGGGAATATTCTAGAGTTATAACCAAACAACAATTTTGAACTGCGATAAAAAAGTTTAATTTACAATTCATACTCACTTACAGGATGACGTGCTGCAAACCAAATTATCCGACTTAACTGTCGAGGGCGTTATCAGTTTACTTGAACGCGTCGATGATCTGCGCCCAGCTTTACCGAAATTGTCGCCAATACTGAAGGAGAACGCCATTAACGGACGCGTACTAAAATATTGCGATATTAACGATCTGAAAGGGGTACGACTATGCTTCCGATTGCTCAAATTTTTCACGCTTTACCATACATATATGCCATATATATGTATATATATATGCAATTTTTCACACACGCTCTCTCTATAAAATCACTTACAGGTATTGGGGCTCAATTTCGGTCACTGGGAATTATTTAGGTTATTAATAAATACACTACGTGATTGTGAGAAAATGCAACGTAAATTCAAGCCAACGCCAGCAATTGTCGAGGCGCCGCCAACGAATATAACAGCGCCGAAAGACAGTACAGATTCGCATACGCTGGCGCCCAATCAGCCACATTCGCGTAAAAACTCCACTTCAAGTCACATGGAAAAACAGGTTTGTACAATGCAAAAGACCGCAAAGTTGTCTGGTAGTTTCTGTGGCGCCAATATTTCTAAAAACTCACTAAAAAAAAAAAAATTAAAAATTACATTATTTTAAATTTTATGAATAAATTATGTGTGCATAGAAATATTGCCGAAAACAGCTTGATGTCTTACATCTAAACCTTCCACAATTGCAAAATACTCATATATACATATGCACTTATGTAAAAAGTAATTCGTTTCCATTGCATAATATATAAATCTTGTTTTGTTTGAAAATCATTTCAAAAAAAAAAAAAATGCAGCCAAAAGTACACGATTATGAGTATCTACAGGTAAAACTCTCCAAGCAGTTGAAGTTTAAAAGTATCGTATTTTAATTATACTGTAACAACTTCTTAACTTTATTGTATTTTTTGTAAGTTTTCCAGTGTATGCTAAAATATTTGAATTACAATTTCTAAATGTGTTTTTAAATTTCTATTTACATGCACGAAATTGTGTTGTTATGAAACTATTATTATTAATGTGTATATTATCGGCGTTGTAAATTCAAAAGTAATAATCTTGTTTTTTCGTGGAATGGGAACTAATTCCAATACCCCTTTCGAAAGTGTTTATTATTATTGATATCATTTAATTTTTTAAATTACTCTAAATAATATTTACTTGGCTAAAAGGACCTGAATAGAGTTATCGAAAAAATAGCTCTAAAAGATCTACTAAAATAGTTGTGACACATCCATTTGACGCTGAAGCTTAGTAAGCGTTTCTTGTTAACTATATAAATAATTTTCATGTGGGTCAGCCATGGCTTTTGTTCCAGTCAGCGTTTACAAAAACAGTCAAGAATCTTACTGCTTTGAACTCTGCTGGCTTTCTTCCGTGAACTTATTAACATTTTTTGTGAGGAAAATTCAAATTTTATTTTTACGTAGTTGGATAATTCACTCATTAAGAATTTGTAGTTCTGATTAAAAATAGCGTTTCTTTATTTTCGTTGCCCAATAGCAATAACGAATTAAGACAAGGTTGGCACACCAGCCGGGTCTGCTAGTTAATAAATTTCTGCATTCCTTTCTGCTTTTCAAATTGTTTAATATTGTACAACTTAATTTGTTATACTAAATGTGTATACTTAATTTTCGTGTATTTTTTACTGTTGTTTTAAGTTCATTTGTAAGTTCTGAAAATTTTTGAAAAAAAAATGAAAAAAAAAAAACATTTTTAGATACATAAATATCGTAGCTTTGCTCATAAAGTTTGAACTAAATTTCTATGTGTGTGTGTGTTTTCTTTTAAACCATCTTTCCATATTTCCCTTTTGCCAAGTGTTATTAATTATATTTTTAATATACAAATAAATAAATATTTCTTTCAATTTCCAGGTCACTCTTGAGGAGCAAATGATTTGCGGTGCACTGCAAACCCTCAACGAGGAGGCTTTCGAGGATGTAGCGAGCAGCGAACGACCCAGCCCGTCGGGTTTGCCTACAGGTGAGATGTTAGCTGCAGCTGCACAACTGCAATTAGCGCCCATACGCGAGTCATCGGAATTCGGTTCACCATCCGATGATCTCAAATTTAGTAATCACTTCCTACAATATGCCAACAATAACAACTATGGCAATTTTCCCACACAACATAATCACAGCGGCAGTACACATTCACTGCAGAGTATTGGTATTGGTGGTGGTGGTGGTGGTGGTGGTGGTGTTGGTGGTGGTAATAACGGTCTTCATATGGGTAATGGCGGTAGTGGTGTACTTCATTATAATACAAATAGTTCTGGTGGCGGTGGTGGTGTGGGTGGTGTTGGTGGCGATATGTACAAGTTGCGGCATAGTATTGTTGGTGATGCCAGCACCCAGGCTGCCGTACAATTGCTGGCTAATCAACAACACCAACTGACAACGGGCAGCCACCATGGTGCACACCATCGCAATCAGCGCCATCATTCGGTCGGTGATGATTTGTTCTGTGATACACTTATACCGCAACAATTGCGATCGCCTGCACAGCAACAGCAGCAGCAACAACAACAACAACAGCAACAGCGTAATACCACTGTACCAATAGTTGTTGTAATACCAAATACAAATGGTGAACATGATATCAACGACACGCCGTTGTAGATCGATATTCGGAAATTCGAACATTCGCGTTTATCAATGCAATATATTATAGTTTAGTTTCAGAGAAAATGCAATAATCTTCAAACTACTCACAAACGTATATACATACATACATACATACAAATGTATTTGTCATAATGTATCAATTGTGATTATCCGTTAAATAATCCCAAAAACTGCACCACAAGCACATACATACATACATATGTACATACAATGTTGGCACACAAAACCACAAACTAAACTAAACTATAAGAACTACTCCTCTAAGCTCCTTCACTTTTAGTACTGTTCAGCAGTACGTTTGGTGCGTCATCGCATTCGAAAATTTTATTTAAAGAAAATTCAATATTCATCATACATACATGCATATAATATGTATAGTGTCTATTTAGCATTAGACATAGTTAGCAGACGAGAAAATGGTAAAATTATTTAGACTTGCACACGTAGAATAGAAATATTCTTGATAAAGTGTAAAAAGGACCCAACTAACATGATTTCACACTTGCGAAAAATCCTCACGGCAGTACAATAAAAATTTCGAATATTTTTTCGAGCCGAAAAAGCTTAAATCTACGATAACTTATTCGTTGAAAAAATTCAAGAAACATCTATAATCAAATCTCAATATGTCGCAAAAAAAAAAAAATAAATTTCATAAGTACACAAAAGAATTTTACTCTGCTATTCAGAGTTAAAGAAGTAAGAATTTATACCTATAGATTTTTAATACTTTTTTTCTTACATAACATGTATATATGTACATACATGTATGCATGCATATGAATATGCTACTCATTTTGCATCAAACTAAATTTTATGAACTGTGCGCTTTGAAATTTTTATTTCGGACTCATTTTTTTTTGCCGAAAAATTAAAAAAATTTATGAAATTTTTGTAAAAACTCATTTCGATTTTCGTATTGAGTAAAATTAATCTTTCAAATGGGAAACCCCTCAAAGTACTGAATTAAAAAAAAATTTTGAAACATTAAAGTAAGCCATTTCAGGACTACATTCCATTGCTATTTCTTGATATATGTACGTGAACGTATAAAAAGCGTCGCCGTCATAAACTGCATGCTAACTGGCTGACTATATTTTAATAAAGCTTCAATCTTTTGACAAATTATTTTTATTTTTTTTCTGCTACTCTTTTATTATTTTCCTACAATATTTTAATAGTATTTTATATAAATTTAAATTTTTTTTCGGTACTCTCTTTCAATAAACTTTTTAGTTTTTAATAAATTCAAAAAACACACAGACGCTCGTTCATTACACACACACACAAACACACATACATAGAAAAACGATAAACTAATTACAATATTATTATGCATATAAATGTTTGTTACTAAGAATTATATCGTTATACATTTTTATGAAAAACTCTCATACTAAAATTGAAATTAAATTAGTTAGCGGTCTTGGAACTGAGTTCAAAGTGAAAATTTGCAAACTTCACATAACCTAAAAGTATCATGATTGCATGTTAAACAGTAAAAGAAAATAATAGAAAATCGTTTCATGATCTATACTATCAATATAACAGTGTTTTAAACAATATACAAGAAACATATATACTGCATACACATACTCGTGCATAGATAAATGTTTGTAAACCTAACTGGCGCTTAGAATATACACAAAGGAAAACATAAAAGATAGAAAATTCAATGCAGTAATACTAATCAAAACTGTGGTAGAGATAAAATAAACACACACACACACACAAATTATGCTAAAACTAACTTTAGTGCAAAATTAAGGAAAAGTATATATATTATTAACAAATTATATATAAAAAAGCAACGCATATCAGCGCTGTACTACCAAGAAAACAATTTTAGTATTAGTTATAGTAAAAGATCTGAGAAATTATATTATACATAAAGTAGCAACTGCTTTGAAGAGTATATAAATACTAAAGTGCTAAAACAAAAACAAACAAAAAACGATAAAAAATATATAGAATTAGAAAAAAAAATTAAATAAAAAAAATATGAATTAATTATCAAGTGTCTTGTGTGTTAGTTTCATTTTTTTTTGGCAATTAGCTGTAAATATTCCGCTGTTGCAAATACAAATTCATTTACGTTATACTTGTATACTACACGTATGTATATCACTGTTTGGTTTTTGGCTCCACTCGCTGGCTTTTCGAAACTTTCAAATCATTTGGTGTTGGTTTTGGTGTTGGTGATTGATTGCTTTGGGCTGTTGTTTTTGATATTGCCGTTGCATTTGCTTCTAGCTGGCGCTTTATATCCTCGAATACATACATATATATATATTAATTTTAAATATGAGTTTCTGATAACAAAACTGTATTAATATGTACATACATATATTTTTTTTTAATGTAGACTAATAAGCATTTCTTATATTAGATTTTCTATACACGTTTGACCAGATTAATTATAGTAGATAAAATTGAAAAAGAGAGCATTAAAATATGTTCTCGCATATGTTTATACATAAAAAGCTGAATTAATAATAAAATTAAGGGCAGTCATTGTTTTAGATAATTTTATTTTTTCTCATCTTCTTATCTATATTTGGCGCTTTGTAACTGCTGAAGCGTTTCTTCGGCCGAGCTCATCCTCCAATTTGTGGTTTTGCGTCTCGATGACTTTCCAAGAAATCTCAAATCTTCTTACCGTTGAAAAAAGATTCAAGTGCAGTTTTTTTGACTTTAAGGTTAAGGTCACATAAAAGGAAAAAATTTGAAGCAAAAATCTTGACTACAGTATACTGAAACCAATTGTATCGAAAGACGAAAGTAAAGAAAAATATAAACAAAAGCTCGCTCAATTGATCCTAAATAAGGGAGTTACTAACTGCATTAACTTCAGTTATTTTATTTTATATATTTAGTTTTACTTATTATATTTTATTTTTATATATTACTAATTTTTTTTAATGAGTTACTAAATTTTATTTCATTTTATTTGTTAAATTTTCATTTCATTTTATTTGGTCTTATTTCATTTTTTAAATTTAAAAGAAAATTTATTATTTTATCTAGAAATCCCTTTTATTTTATACCGCTTTATTTATTGTAATTTATTTATTTTTTTGCTTTCCCTTTTTTATTTCATTTATTTAGCTTTTCTTTATTTTATTTTACTTTATTTTTTTTCTTATTTCATTAAACTTAATTTTATTTATTTATTTTATCCCATTTACGTTGAGCGATTTTTTTTTTATTAATTTCACTAATTTAAATTTATTTAATTTTTTATTATATTTTGTGTTATTTAGTTTTTCCAATTTTACTTTTTCATTTCACTATTTTTAATTAATTTGTTTGCTTAAGTTTTTTTACATTTAATTTTATTTATTTTTTAATTTAATTTCGAATCGCAACCTTTCTCTATATCTGCACTTAATTTTTCCTGCAGTAAAATAGGGTTTTTGAATACAAAAAACTCTTGTTTTAGTTTACATGCAAATCTCTGCTGAAAGAATATTTTTCACCTTCATCACCGAATCTCTATTCCAAAAATGTTCTGCCAAATATTTTTATGTTATTTTTAAACACTTCCCGAAACACACATAATTCACCTACTGTATGCCACCATATCTGCCTTAACTCTCTCCGTAGATACAGAATTGCAGTTCACCAATAATACGGCGATGCCGCCGCCAGCCTCGCCTGTGGCCCAACGTCGCGACTCCATTCTGAAACATCAAAATAGCGTTAAAACTGATAAGCGCGTCAGCATCATGCAGGGCAACCAAGGCAAGAGTGGCAGCAGCAAACTGCAGTTGACGTCAAATCTAGAATATATCTCGGAGAAACCATCGTCACTCTCGTCATCCGCCTCAACGCTGCCATCGAGCGGCTCAACAACGCTGGAACGACGACCCAGCAAAACGGCATCAGGTAATGTTGAATAAACGAATACTTAATCAAGCATATAGTAATAACATCGCTTACAGGTCCGCGACCCGCTTCACTGGTCATCACAAAGAACGACAACAAAGGCTCACAATTCAAATTGGTGCGTTCATCCTCAGTGGACTACGAGGATATCGAGAGTCAGGTGCAGCCGCGCACTGCAAACAAAATCATACTTGCCGAGCATCTGCCCGAAGATGAATCAGCGCCGTTAGTATTTACTGTGCACAAATGAACACAAACACAAGGCCAAACGAAAAGAACTGACAGAAGACAAACAAGAAAAGAAAAAGAATTAAAAAGAGTTAGGCTATGCCAAAGGAAATGCCTTCTAGCAGCTGGAGGAAATTTAAAAAAGTTAAGAACGAATTTCGTGCAGTGCTGAAGCAGCGCAAGTGAGGCGAAAGTGCGCAGGAGAAATGTCACAACTTTTTTTCTTTTTTTTTCTATTTTATATAAACTAAAATTCTATAAATCTTAGCTTTAGTGTATTATACAACACATACATATACATACAAACGTTCTTACATGCATAAAATATATATTCAAATTTGAAATGTGCAAAAGCGCTTAAATGTGCGCTTACATATACAAACAAACATACAAACATATATATAATATTTTAGAATGCTCTGATTTTGTTTATGTGTAAAATAATTTAGCAAAATATTTATCTACTATTAGTATATTAATTACGTATTGTGACTATCTACATATATATATATATATGTGTATGCATTTACCTATATGCATACATATGTATGTGTAACTCATGCTGTGTGCTTGTACGAGTACATATGTACAATAATAAGTATTTAACAAAATGATTTGCAACGATGCCTAAGAGTCGTGTGAGCGCCCCTAAATGTGTATGTAAAAATGTCTTAACTGAAAGCAAGAACTAAAAGTAAAAGTAACAGTAAAAGAAATAACAATAGCAATTATGTCATTACTATATTGTTTGTTGTTGATCTTGTTCACTACCGTACCGTATGTATTAGACTTTAATTAAGTACTGATTAAAGTTTGAGATACATTTAAATATATTTATTAACGTGAAAAGATAAAAAGAAATCAAAGCGTTGCTCTTCAACGACTACAACCAACCAACCAATTTACCAATTAAGTATTGTTAGTTGCAGTAATGTTTGAAAATTGAATAAAAAAAAAAAACGAATAATTATAGGTAAATAAATAAAACAAAGTGAACGCCACAAATATATACCGACATTCATATATTCACGAATATACAACCACAAAAAACAAAACCAAAACATACAAATGTACATACATGCAGTTCTCAATTGCAAATAATGTTTATTGGAATGCCTTGGTAAGCTTAGTGCTAATAGGATCAATTTTATTGTAATTAGAAGAATTTGAATTGGGCATAACTGTGCGAACATAAAAAAAAAACAAATAAATTAAAATGCAATTTGAAAATCACTTTTTTCTTCTGAAGCTTAGGTACTTTTTAAAAGCATGCGCGAGGTAAGCACAGTCGGCGGAAGTTGAATACATATAAGACAAGGTATAGCAAAATTTCACTCAATATTCGAAAATTAATATAAATATTATCTGAAATTTCAATTAAAAAAAAATTCTCAATATTTTCAGTTAAGAATTCAGTCGAAAGGATATTTTTAGTGAAATAATATAATAGCAATAAGTGCATAAACCATCTAAGAGTATGAAATTTGGTCCATATCATACAATACCCATACAACCGATTTGTTCAGATACGAGATTTTTGGGTAAAAAATCCGTCAAATAAGCATCTATGTGTTATATACAAATAAACAAATTTTAACAACGAAAATTATTGAAATCGGAAAACTTCGACATTACTCTAAGCTCCCTCATTTATTTTTCAGATATTTTTTTTAATTTTCAATACTAAAATTAAATACCATAAATTTGATCTTTCCTTGATGAATAAAGATTTTATTTTAAATATACTTAAAAACAAAACTTTTCGCTTGGAAAAAATAGCAATCAATTCTTGCTTCTTAAGGGTTCTCCATAAACTACGTGCTCATATTTTAAGCTTGCTGACTAGGTATAAATATTTAGTAACAGTTATTATTAACTTAAAAAAAAATATATTTGTTTCGTCCGAAGAAAATTACATGGCTTTGCTCCCACTAGCTCTCCCCAGCGACGTGGTTATATCGTAGCATTTAAACCAATCCCCGACTTGACCAAGGTAAGTGGTTTATGGACGCTCCCTTATCAGGACTATAAAATGAAATTCCCTGAGTTCTAATTTAAAAAATAAAAAAAAATTAAAATAAAATGTTCAAGGTTCTATTCCACCGATTTATTTGGATACATAATGATCGATTTCTGCTAAAAACTTTGAATTTGCAATTTAATTTACTTCTTCTAAAATCCATCATAAATAAAAACTAAATTGATTGAACTCCTATTGGTTTTCATTTCGATTTCTTTTAAGTCGATTTCTTACTTACGCACTGTAATCGCTGCACCCAAGTTCAATCACCGCTACTCGGCCAGCAGAAAAACTTCTCATTTGCTTCTTGTTGCCGGCTTACCCACACACTCACATCAGCGATGTAAACAAACTGCATAGGCAAAGTGAAATGGGTGACCGGCTTTTCCCAAACCAACAACTAAATAAACAATTCTCTAAATATGTATGTATGTATGTATGTATGTAATACATCAGTTTATAAACTTTGTAAGCGAAATAATGAGTAAATTGGGAAGAGCACAGAGAGCAGGCTAAAGCAAAGTATGAGTATGGGCAAAACAAAAACAGCAAGAAACGAACAACGAAAGCCCAATTGGTTAACGACCGACCGACCCCAACTAAACAGAATATATGTATGTATGGATGTTTGGATGTATGTACAATAGAAAAACGCCACCAGAACACCATAACCAGCGATTGCAGCGCCACCAGGCAGGCAGACAACAGTCAAATAGCGAGAGGTAGTCAGCTATCAGCTGTGCGCTACGTTTCAAAGAGGTCACCTTGAAGTTGTGAATTTTTGTATTCAGTCAATTTTATTGTATCGCTGCTCGTGGTTCGTACGCACAGGCAGTTTTTTCAGTTTCTCAACGCTGCAACAGCCAACGCCGAAGTCAGTTAAGTCACAAAATTTTTTGGGTAAAGTAATCGTTCTGCTTGCTTATACGTTTATTGTAAATAAGTGGAAAAATTTGAAATTTTTTTATTTTGTTAACAACTAATTGTTTGATTTAATGGTGATTGAGAGCTTGTGCATTGCATAAACATTCTGTGATGTGGGAAAGTGAAGAAAAATATATATAATGTTTGGAATTAATAAGTATCTAAAAAATAATTAAAAGCGAAAGCGAAAGGGAAAGGGGAAGAGGAAGATTAAATAAATTTGAAGGAAATTTTGATAAGTGCAATGGTTTTTGAAAAGAAAATAAATAAAAAAAAAAATACTGTGAAGCTGTAAGAGTGGAAATATTTCAGAACACATATGTATGCACATACATACATGTATGTACGTGCCTACATACTTAAAGACATGCAAACATATTCTGAAAATAAATCAAAAATGCTATATTTAAACTTATTAAACTGCGAATAATAAGAAAAACTTTGCAAATTCTTATTTTTTTGATTTTTTCGGTTGCTTTTTTTTGCATTTCCTTCAAGTTATGGTGCAATCCATTTGTATAAACACATCTATTTTTGCACAACACTACGCGTACATATGCATATGCGAGTGTGCATCTCACACATACACACTTACATACCAATTTACATCTTTTTGACCATTTGAACTCGAAAATGAAACAAAACAAGAACAACAAAAAACAGAAATTATTTGAGTGAAACTAATCGAAAAGGAATGAGGTAAAGGCGCCGGCAACTAACGCTGATAAGCAGACCGACCGTTCGTCGGTTGAAAGGCGGAATATATTTTTAATTATTATGTTTATTGATAACTGCAGTAACTGAATTATTTTACTACTTACGTGTAAATACCATAAATAGTGCAATGTCGCCGTGAACAGCGCTTTTTAATCAAAAAGGAATTCGTTGCCATTACTAAAAACAGAGTATAATTTTAACTTAGGTGTGATAGCCACGTGATAGAGTAACCTATTTCGGGAAGGAATACTTTGACGATAAGGAAATTTTGCAACAACCATATTCTAATTTGCTTGTGATGTGAAAATTGTTTTCCATTTTACAGGATGAATTTTGAATCTTCGAAAATTTCTTTAAATCTTTTTGTGTGGAAAATATGTACTTACATACATATTTATATGTTTAACATGAAGATTTGTATAAAATAAAATATTTCATATACTGTAGTACCACGCCCACTTCCAAGAATGTCTGCCGGCGGAAGCAAAAAGTACTAGGTCAACGAACAACTTGTCGCAGATTAGATAAAAATAGCAATCTGTGTATGCATAGGCATATACATACGAGGAGTGCCCAAAAATAAGTAGAATCTCAACTTTTGTAAAAAAACAAAAATTACATATGCATCAGTTTGAAATTTTCTCATACAAAGTTAGGTCCCGTTTTGGTATAATACAGGACATTTCTCGGCATTTTTTCCATTTCCCGGTTCGCCCCTGAGTTCTTTCAGCGATTCGGGCTTTAATTAATGAATAATCGCAAAAAGCCGTCTTCTCATGAATCTCTTTACTGAAAAGACAGACAGAAAATATCACCGGAAGGCACATTTGGCTGAGGCATGGCAAACAATTAGGAGTAAGCAATGGCAAATGAACATTTCAAGAGTTTTTAAGCACTTAATTCCAATTTGAGGCAAATATTTTAGTGGAGGAACTAGTGAAGGACTTCCTACTTTTGTGCTACTCACAAACAAACTAAGAATTCCATAAGGAGATAAGTGTACTAAAATAACAGTAAAATTAAAAAATTAACAAATACATATAAGTGGTCAGAGAAATTTGAAAAGTTATTTTTGAGCACACCTCGTGCAAATGCTTATTTTGGTTACTCGAAGATTTTTTTGTACCAAAAATTCACTGAGCTCTCAGAGTTTTGGTAAAGCTCATATATTTCATTAAGAAAACGATATTTCCCTAAACAAAAATAACGGATTTTCCAATAAGATGTGTTATTTTGATATTCATTGAAACTTTTCCCTTGAAAGATCTTGTTGAAATTAAGCGTTGTCCAGATCAAAGACATGCAATTCCGGCCATAAAAAAAATCATTTAACCATCTCTCGATAGTGCAATCCCTTAATTTTCGAAAAGTTACAAAATTGGAAGAAGAGCTCAGCTGAAAATCGCTGCAGCAGTTACAAAGCGCCTATTCAATTTATTATATTATTAAGGTACAATAACCCCGCCGGACCAGATAGTTACACGTAGAGTATGGTGAGGCTTCGAGCCTCAAATACGACAGTTTTATTGACGAAGCCAACGAGGTAGAAATCATCCATCAAGATGATTTGTCGATGAGATTCATGTTTTCCAAGGACCCAATCAGCAAAGACAGGACGTTGTTGATGATTAGCTGGCTTGTACTCTTGGGTTAACTAAACTTTATAAGCCTTACGGCACAAGTTTTTGAAATCCAATTAACAAACCTTGGTTTTCTTCAGCCGCAATATTTTTTTTTATTGGAAATATGTGGAGTTTATTTAAAGAGTCTGAGTGGGTAAAAGGTTCATCAGAATAAAAATCAATTTGATTTGCAAATAATTTCTTGTGGCCATCGGTATGAAACACCACCTTTTATATCCAAATCAGTTGAGTAGAACATAATATTGATGATAAAAATGGGAAGTTCTGAAAAAAAAGTTCTGAAAAAATCGACGGAAATCAAATAGAATTGATGAGACGGTAGGTTTTCGATATATGTGATAGATATCGACGATTCCGGGCCACCACATGCCTCATAATAGCATTGTAAGAAACCTTGGTGTTTGTGCAGTTTAAAAGAAGAAAAATCTTTAAAACTCAAAACTTTCGGAGCGCTGAAACTACCGGTTTTTGATTTCAAAAAAGTTATAGTACAAAAAATTTTAAAACTCCCCCGACCTCACTAACTCTTAATCAAGAGAATAAAAATTAAAAAATACAAAACTACAAAAAAAATTAAAATAATTGATTTTGTAGCGCATTTCGGATAGCCCTAATGTACTATGCACATAAATAATAATAAATAAAAATATTGGCCTAAGCGCCCCACCTACGCCCACCACTAGTCCACTAGATTGTTTATGCTTTTGTTGGCGTCTGTGACGTTTCCAAGAGAAAGTGAAAGTGGCGCACGTTTTTGTTAGTACTTATACACCCAATATACGACATACATAGATACACTTGCATCGGTATAAGTGCAACCCCACGAACTTGTCGAAACGAACACTGTCGGCGGTGTGCTTATTGTTTACCGATATATACGTACAATACATATGTACACACGATACATACGGAAGCAAAGGCACGCCTTCCTATTTACATATGTACACGTACATATGTATGTAATATTTTCACGCTGTTGCATTATTTTCGCTTGCATTTCGTCATATGCATATGTATTCTCGTAGTACGAAGTACCGACTTCTATGACGTCACACTCAATTCTCAAGTTCATTGGTAAGGTCATTGGGTTAAGTGCATTGGCGCTCGTATTCTACTCACTGTACAGGGTGTATAAGCTGCAATAGCCGAAGCGAATTACGAAATCGACAACACTGCGCAGTGGAGGTTAGAATATGCGAAAGCCAATTTCATTGTTGAAATTCAGCGATATGATGAAATATTTTGATTAAAAAAAGTAATGGACGCCTTAGCTGCTCATGATCCTTAATTTCCCTCTTGCAAATAACTTTTCAAGAAAGTGAAAGGAAACCATTTATCGGTTCTGCAGAAATATTTTGCACTCTTCTCTTCACAAACTTCCACAAATTTTTCACCAAACCCCGAAGCACCTCTCAACGAGCCTCAGCGCTTTCAGTAAACCACCACCTGCGGCTCTTGAAGGTTTTCTTTATTTGTGTAGCCATGTCTAGCGAAAAAGGAGGTTGGGGTGTTTTTTGTTTGTCTTGACCAAAAACTCACGAACAATCAACGAAGTGTGAACAAATGCATTCTGGAGCCCTTTTCAGCCTATACGAGCCAGAATGCCGCCAGCGCGTGGATTCAGTCTGAATTTCGACCTCAAATCGCTCGTCATCCGCCGTGATCCCCAAGCATTGTTATTTTTTGAGCACACCTCGTATACAATAGTCACTTTACGACCTTGAAGCGATTTTCGGTCGAGCACCTCTTTACTTGATTTTTTCCCAACAAAGAGAGGAACCTAAGGTTTTTCTAAATCCTACGCCGCACGTCTGAAGAATTTTTATGAGAAGCTCTCCGTTTCATGACAAACATACACTAAGAGGGATTAACATTCCCAGCTAAGGGGTGAGCAATATTTTAATCCTCCACCAACTACTATCCACTTGTATTTAGCAGCCCCCGACTTAGAAAACGGAAGAAAAATTCAAAATGGTTGAAAGGGAAGGCTGAGGAATTGACCATGAGCCGTAGAGTAACCGCATTGTGTATACTTTTGATAAGATAATTTTGGATTGGGGGGCACCGTGAAAGATGGGACCACTCAATCCGTTGAAGGCCAAACACTCACAAAAGTAGTGATCCAGTACTCTGCACTCAGCAGAGTTCACTTTGCCTAGCTGGCAGGGAGGATATCCCAGGGACAGAGACCCCGATTATATACCACAAATAAGAATATTGAGTTCTTTTTGTTGTTGTAGCCGCAAAAACAACCAAGATACTTTTTGGGGAATGTTGAGATAGTGACAACCCTTGGTCGTATAAAAATCCGGTTTGCTCCGGTATACAGACCTGACTGTAGCGGGATCTTTTGGATTTTAGACGCCCCTTACGATAGACTAGTCTTATCACTCGAAAATTCTTAGTTCTCTTTGCTTTTGGTCTATCTACAATCCACAGTGCCAGCGTTGCACCGTCCATTTTGGTTAATGGAGTTTGTCTAAAAGCAACATAACGCAAAATGCCGGGAGACTAGCTCTATGTAGTAAATTGGAACAGAAAATGTTGTGGCAAAACCTATTTTGTATATTTAAAAATGGTTTGAAATTTTTTTGGTTTCGCCGATGACTCAATACCTTTGATTTTAACTCAATACCCTGTATATGTATGTACATGCTCAAGCGATGGTCATACAGCGTATGCTCTATCTAGTGAAAACTACTAACCAGCTCCGAATTTATATTTCGACAATCCATTTAATTAGTAAGCAAATAAACGCCGAGACACAAACAACGAAATTCCGCGCAAATCTTACAGTTAGCAGATAATAGATAAATTAAAGTGCTACAACAAATCACCCACAAGACAGGATGGATGGCTTTCAACGCTTTATCGTTGGGCTTCAGCGAAAGCTCTACACTTTTCTTCAAATCGTGCTGAATTGGCAGTTTGTGCGTTGGTTTGTCGATTTATATTCGAAATTAACTACCGATCGTCGCAGCATTGGCGCTGACACCGACGACGACGGCGCCGACGCCGACGCCACCACCAACGCAGCGACCAAAGCCAGCGCCACTGCCAGCAACAACAATAGAAAGCGTATTAAATGGTCGTGTGGTGTTACTGACGGCGAGAAGGAGCAGGAGGGGGCGGAGGTGGACGAACAGTCCCTATGCTCAGTATCTGCAACGAAAGAAGCTCAAGGAATCGATGAGTGTAATACGAAAGAGCGGGAAGCTGCGCACACGAAGCACCAACGAACTACAACTTCCGATATCGCATGCGAGCCAGAACAGCAATCGCCCAGCAAACCGGTGACAGAAACTGTCACGGATGTCGGATTGGCAGGTGTGCTTAACGCAAGTCCGAACGCAAGCACAAAAATGGGAAATAATCATAGTAGTAATAAAAACAAGCAAAACTCAAACAAAAACAATGCCGGCGGTGAGGTATGTGAAAAAGAAAAAATTTATCTAAAAAGTAATAGTAAAAAGTAAATAAATGCACAAAAAAATCTATGGTGTTTTTGGGCCAAAATGTTGGGATTTCGTGAGCGCTGTGTAGTGTGTCCCGCAATAGTTCGCCTAATAAGTGTTGTTGTTTTTTTTTCAAAAATATTTGTTTTTATGTTGGCTGGTGTACTTTATGCGGCAAACTGTTGTAATAATCATTGGTGTTTAATATTAAATGTTGCATTTAATCGAAACTAAATCAAAATATTTTTATTTACATATATTGTATAATAATAATATTATATATGTATGTTTGTATATATTATGTGTGTGTGCATATTCTCTTCTGCTGATAAGATTCTATGCAAAATCACTAAATATTCTATGCAAATTAGCATGTTTGGGTGTGTATGTAAAAAAAGTGTTTTAAATGTATGTATGTACTTACATACAGATATATTATGTGCATCGTAACTGCAGTTATAAAATAAAATTCATATTTCACTTTAATCAGTTAGATTCCGACAACGAAAGTGGAGATCCGAAAATCACTGGTATTTTTCTTTTCCTCCAAAAAATTCTCTGCTCTAACTAAAACTTATTTGTAAGTAAGTTGGTAAGTGTGTACGTATGTATGTAGAATAAAAGTGTGTATTGTTTTCATAATTGGTGAAAATTCCTAAAAACCACAATTACAACATCAATTGCCAGCCAACCGAACCGAAAGTGGCGCCTAAGTCAATAATATCACAGTTCGGGTACCTCATACGTATGTATGCATGTATGTATGTTTGTATGTACGTATGAAATAATTATTTATTTGCACGTACATACATATGTTTGTATAACCGCAAATTGTATCAACCGAACAACAATAATAACAAAAATTAGATCAACAACAACAACAACAACAACAACAACAACGTTCATTTAATATACGTACATTGAGTTGCTGTGCCGCAATCTGGATGCAAAAACTGAACGATCGATTTCAAAATCATCTATTCAGTTCGTGTGACATTGAAATTCGTCCCAAATGCTCTTGAGCCTCAACATCTATGCGTCAAATTAATGATGATTGTTCAATTGAAAACGAGAAAACGGCACGATTGGATAAACTGGATGAAAACCAAATTGATTGATATATATAAATACGTATATGTATGTATGTATACATGAATACATACTCTTCCGCTGGTTGGTCGATAACTTTTTTGCCATAATGACTTATGAAACAGAATTCCGCCGGAGGAACAAAACTGGGCGCTTCTGGGAGATTGATTCCATTATACGGTAAAATTGCTGACAGTCCAGGCCCGAATTGAAAGTTTGGCTCTCATATTGAAGGATTCCTTGCCAATCCAACCAAATGCACAACAAAACCCTTTGGATTGACATCCTGGCTTGGAGATCGTTTGACCGTTTTCATTTGACGTTCCTATAAGTGATCCACTCTTCATCTCCAGTCAGCTTGCGCTCCAGAAATGAGTCGATAATGTTATGATTCAGCAGCGTCCTTCAGGTTTTTTCTCGTTACCTCATGTGGCACTCATACATCAATCTTCTATCTATATCCAGCCTTTTTCATGTTGTCGCAAACTGCCTTGTGTGCAGTGGTTAGCTCCTAGACAATCGCAGCAGTGCTTGCAGGACGGTCAGACTCGACCATTACTTGAGCTTATATTCTATTTTATTTATTTATTCCATTTTATTTTATTTTATTTTATTTTATTTTGTTTTATTTTATTTTATTTTATTTTATTTTATTTCATTTTATTTTATTAAATTTTAGATTGTTTTATTTTAATTAAGTTTTTTAAACTTATTTTATTTTTGTTTTATTTTCCATTTTTAAAAACCGATGTTAAAAGTTAAAAAAAAATGATGTGGCCAAAATAGGTCCTTATCAGAGGTCCACCTTTTAGATAAAACCAATAATATTAAATAATAAATAATAACAATAAAATATTTGCTTCGGAACTCGTTGGAGTCGAAGTTGAAATTGTTGGCGGTCAAAACCTTCGCTACATTTTGTCCCGTGCGAATACTGAGCTTTTTTCTCTTGCATATTAATTAGAACGATCAACCTTGGCACGAATTATGGGCCTACTTACTAATAGACCCCTACAGGGTGATCATTTGGTGAAAATATTTATATATGTATGTATATGTCTGTCATGTTAAATATGTGTCTGGTGGAATAATAAATAATTTAATCCTTTTGTAAAACGCATAGGAAAATAAATAGTTATTGTTCGGTATTGGTGTAATTAACTTTTCATTCTAAAGTAAAAGTGTTTGTGGATAAAAAAAGTGTGGCTTTCGCGTCTTGTCCGAGTTGTAAATTAACCAAATGCAAAGCTGGTAAAGGGTTGCGAAGATATAAATACATATATATATATATATACTTTTTTATTTTTAGCATCCAAATCAAGTAATTTGGAAGTGTCGCTTTGTAATTAAACTTTCTATTTATTTGTATATTCTTAACAATAGTTTACAACTTCCCCTTACCACCTTCACATTCTATTTCAGGGATCCAAGTCACCAAAGTCTCCGACTTCACCGACGTCACCGAAAAAGTGTAATTCAAAGGATAAAAATATAAAACCACCAAAATACACGGACGACGCGGCACCTGAAAAGCCGAACCCTGACATAGTTATATCAAGTTATGTGCTAGACAAGAGCGGTCATCAAATACCAGAAAGCTCGGTACCAGAACTAAACTCCAAGCAAAGCAGCTTAACGCCTATTAACTCAACAGAAGTTGAAACGAGGTCAGAAGTTGAAGGGCTAAACTCCAATTTAACACAAGTTTCTTCGAATTCAAAGGAGCAATTCGATTTGGAATTGAACAATAAAGAAGACGAAGAAGGAACAGTCAGAGAAGAGACAATTAGCAAAGTAAAACACTCAGCGTCTACAACTGTCGAAGCGAAAGTACCAAAGTCAAGTTCGGTTCAGTTAGAGTCGTACGAAGAGCCAAGACCACTCGATATGACCGTATCGGGTGATATACATAGTGTGCCCATCGCTGAAGGTACCAACGCCGAGAATGTGCTCTACCGCATTAAGCGTGGCTCCACAGTGCGTGTGCATGGCGATGCTTCTCTGCTGGGTCGAGAAATTATTTTATATACCAATTACCCAGCTGAGGGTGAGTGGTGAGGCGTTGTTAAAGGAAGTGATTTTAAAAACCCCTTTCTGATTATAGGTAAAAAGTTCGTGCGCACGGAGTACCGCATACTGGACTGGCATTTGCGTAACGGCAAACCATTTACTACCAATCTAAATAAGTATGCCCACATTGTAGATACTGATATATTCAGTCAGGTGAAGATGAATCTCTCGGGTACCTTCCGTTTCTGGTTTCAATATAAGAACAGGTGGGTTAAATTTAATTCGTGAGTCAAATTGGACGAATATGCTTATGTACTCTTGTTTTCTTTATCTAATCACAGCCAAAGCTCCGAGCCTGACGGCGCACTTTACATACAAGTGGAGCCGACACTTCATGTTGGCCCACCTGGCGCCCAGAAGATAATCCCACTGAATTCAGTGCGTTGTCAGACGGTTATCACGAAGTTATTGGGACCCATCAACACTTGGGAGTCGAAATTGCGTGTCGCTAAGGAATCTGGTTACAATGTGATCCATTTCACACCCATTCAAGAGCTCGGTGGCTCACGTTCCGCGTATTCACTGCGCGATCAATTGAAGGTTAACCCAAACTTTGCCGCAAAGAAGGGCGGCTCTGTAAGTTTTGAAGATGTGGATAAAGTCATCAAGAAATGCCGGCAAGAGTGGGGTGTAAGTTCAAACGGAAGATGAAATGTGTAGCTACTACCCTCATTCATATATGCCTCCTTACCTCCATTACAGATAGCCTCCATTTGTGATATTGTTCTTAATCACACAGCCAACGAATCCGATTGGGTACGCGAACATCCCGATGTTACATACTCTTGCGCGACCAGTCCATATTTGCGCCCCGCCTTCTTGCTCGATGCCGTACTAGCCAAGTGTGGTGAGGACGTGGCAGCCGGTCTCTTGGAGCACGTTGGCGTGCCGGCAGTGATCGAGCATGAGGATCATTTACAAGCTCTGAAATATCAATTGCATAGCGTTTATTTGCCTAAAGTAAATATCTACGAACTGTTCCAATGCAACATTAGCAAATATATGGAGGAGTTCAAAGGTCTAGTGCGCACGCGTTCGCCTCCTAAGAACGTCGCAGATGTGTCGCGTTTCAATGAAATACAACTGATCAAGGATCCACAGTATCATCGTCTCGGTGCTAAAATTGACTTAAATTTGGCACTAGAGATTTTCAACGGTTTCCACGGCGACTGTTTCGATGAGGAATCACGCTTCCGCAAGTGCGCCGAGACTTTGCGTCACCGCTTAGAGACGCTTAATGAGGAAGTACGTGCAGAAGTCCAGGGTTACTTGGGTTATGCCATTGAGAACTGTCTGGCTGGTGCGCGATATGAACGTGTGCAGCACGATGGTCCCAAGGTACGCGAAATTTCCGAAAAGCATCCACTCTTCATGCAATACTTCACGCAAGTTAAAGCCATCGGCAAGAGTCTTCAGGAGATAGAAGAGGGCATGTATGGCGACATGGGCAAATTCTTCCAAGCGCACAATGGTTGGGTTATGGGGTATAGTGACCCGTTATGTGACTTTGCCGAGGAGCAACCAGGACGTGAGAATGTGTATTTGAAGCGTGAACTAATTGCTTGGGGCGACAGCGTTAAATTGCGTTATGGCAAGAAACCCGAAGATAGTCCATATTTGTGGAAGCACATGACTGAGTATGTAGTGACAACAGCCAGAATTTTCGATGGCGTTCGCTTGGATAACTGTCACTCAACACCGCTACATGTTGCAGAGTATCTTTTGGATGCCGCACGGGCGATTAACCAAGACTTGTATGTAGTAGCGGAGTTGTTCACAAACTCGGATGCCACAGATAATGCCTTTGTTAATCGCTTAGGCATTACTTCGTTAATACGTGAGGCCTTGTCCGCCTGGGATTCTCACGAGGAAGGACGTCTGGTATACCGTTATGGCGGTGAACCGGTCGGAGCTTTCTACGTCAATCCCAAGCGTGATCTGGCACCCGCCGTTGCCCATGCGCTTTTTATGGACCAAACGCATGACAATCCATCGCCTGTTGAAAAGCGCTCGGTTTACGACTTATTGCCGTCAGCAGCTTTAGTGTCAATGGCATGTTGCGCCACGGGCAGCAATCGCGGTTATGACGAGCTTGTCCCGCATCATGTAAGAAAAATCTAATCAAAGCCTTTGAATATATTCATATCACCCCCTTATTATTTTCACAATTTTCCTATAGATCCATGTTGTGGACGAGGAGCGCCAGTACCAGGAGTGGGGTAAGGGTGTTGATAGCAATTCCGGCATTATTGCCGCAAAGCGAGCGCTCAACTTGTTGCATGGCCAACTTGCCGAAGAGGGCTTCAATCAGGTCTATGTCGATCAAATGGATCCGAATATTGTGGCTGTGACGCGTCACTCACCAACCACACATGAAAGTGTCATACTTGTTGCACACAGTGCTTTCGGTTACCCACATCCCAACACTGGCCCAACAGGCGTGCGTTCTCTACGCTTCGAAGGCACTCTCAACGAGATTATACTTGAAGCCGATATTTCAATGAAGAGCGACAAGCCTTACGACCGGCCGGGACCATTTAAGAAGGATCCTAACTACATTAATGGATTTTCGCAGTTCCAACTCAGTTTGCGCGAACACATACCGCTAAACAAGTCGAAAATTTTCCATGCTACGCCTCACGTCGATGGTAGTGTCACACAACTGGATTTCGAAAACCTCTACCCAGGCTCCGTGGTTGCTGTCAGGTGATTTACAACACATAAATCTCACTAGACCGGCTTCTAATTTTACTCCATTAAAATATATATTTCAGAGTATCTCTGCACAACCCAACGAAGCCACACGCAGAATATCTGCAGAGACTTGTTAACTCTTTGCAATCAGAGAGCGGCGCTGTGTACGACGAGCTCCGTGAAATCATCTCTAAACTGGATTTGGTCGACCTAAACCGTTCACTTTTTACATGCGACGAGGAAGAACGTGATCACGGCTATGGTGGCGCCGCTTACGATATACCAAACTATGGGCGTATAGTTTACTGCGGTCTACAGGGCTTTATCTCCATACTGACAGAGATATCTCCGCGCAATGACTTGGGTCATCCACTTTGCAATAATCTTCGAGATGGCAATTGGATGTTGGGTGCGTAGAAGTCTCCCTCTCAAATGCCCTTTTCATTTAATGAGCTCTCTTCTTCCCACACCCAATAGATTATGCTGCTGATCGTCTGAACCATCGCGAAGGGACGCAAGTGCTCTCAAAGTGGCTGAAAACAACTTTTGATTCTTTGAAGAATATACCAAGATACCTCATTCCCTGCTACTTCGATGCAATCCTAAGTGGCGTGTACGAGGCGCTTGTGGCACACACATATCAACTGATGCCGGAGTAAATAGAAATAATTTGAAGCCGAAACTCATCTCTAAGAGAATATTTTTTTTGTAGGTTCATACGGGATGGTCACAACTTCCCGCAAACTCTCGCTTTAGCGACGCTACAGTTCCTATCGGCTTGCAAGTCAGCCAATTTGCCGCCACTTAGTCCGGCAGTGAAACCTCAACCACCAGAGATTTGCGTCACACTTTCAGCTGGTAAGTGCAATTCATAATTTACCGTTAATTGCACTCAATTGACTTCTCTCACCGCTTAGGATTGCCACACTTTTCTACCGGCTACATGCGCTGCTGGGGACGTGACACATTCATAGCGATTCGGGGTGTTATGTACTTAACGGGACGCTTCCAGGAGGCACGCTACATCATACTCGGCTTCGGTCAATGTCTACGACATGGTCTCATACCGAATTTGTTGGATAATGGTACCAAGCCGCGCTTCAACTGCCGCGATGCCATCTGGTGGTGGTTGAACTCCATCAAGCAGTATGTACAAGAAGCTCCACAGGGCAAGGATATCCTTAAGGATATGGTGTCGCGCATTTTCCCCTACGATGATAGCGAGCCGCATGGACGTGGTAAATTCGATCAGAAATTGATCGATGTCATGCAGGAGGCGCTGCAGGTGCATTTCCAGGGCTTACAGTATCGTGAGCGCAATGCGGGCTATGAGATCGACGCACACATGACGGACCAAGGTTTCAACAACAATATCGGTGTGCATCCCGAGACAGGATTCGTGTTCGGTGGCAACATTGCCAATTGCGGCACATGGATGGACAAGATGGGCTCGTCGGAGAAGGCCGGTAATCGCGGACGTCCTGCCACACCACGCGACGGCTCTGCAGTTGAATTGGTTGGACTACAAATGTCGGTATTGCGTTTTTTGCAATCGCTAAGCGAACAGGGTATTATTGAGTACAAATCGGTGGAACGCAAGGGACCAAATGGTAAAAGTGCAAAATGGAATTCAATAAATGCAAATTAAAGTAAATTAATCTGATTTTCAACTAACCACCAGGTGAAACAACCACTTGGACATACAAGCAGTGGGCAGATCGCATACAGAACAGCTTCGAGAAATATTTCTTTGTCAATGAATCGGAGACAGGTATGCAAGCGAACAAGAAGAGTATCTACAAAGACTCGTACGGCGCCTCGCAGGGTTGGACCGATTTTCAATTGCGTTGCAACTTCCCAATAGCAATGGTTGTCGCGCCAGAGCTCTTCAATCCACAAAATGCCTGGGCTGCTTTGGAACAAGCGCGCAAACATCTGCTCGGCCCACTGGGTATGAAGACACTCGATCCAGATGATTGGAATTATCGTGCAAATTATGATAACTCAAATGATGCTGACGACTGTACGGTGGCGCATGGCTTTAATTATCATCAAGGACCCGAATGGGTGTGGCCCATTGGCTTTTATTTACGAGCACGCCTAATATTTGCTAAAAAATGTGGTTATTTGGATGCGACCATCGCTGAGACATGGTGAGTGCGAAGAAGATAACGGAAGCCCAAAGTGTGTCTCTTTCAAGAGAGCTTTGCAAATATTTTTCCCCTACTCTCTTGCTCACAATTGTGGTCTGCAACTTTTAGACTCTTTCATTCTCATTCTCCCTCGTTCTCTCTCTCTCTCTCTCAGGTCAATTTTGCGCGCTCACTTAAAGGAGTTGAACACTTCCCACTGGCGTGGCCTGCCTGAGTTGACCAACGACAACGGCTCTTACTGCCATGGTTCCTGTCGCACGCAAGCCTGGAGTGTGGCCACCGTACTGGAGGTGAAATAGAAAATATTTTCCGAAGAAAAGAGAAAAATCAGACTTATTTTCACGTTTTTCTTAAAGGTTCTGCACGACTTGCACGCCATCGGCGGAGATGTTTGAAAATAAAACAGTGACCCCGAATAGACATAAAAGCAGCAGAGGAGGAAGGAAAAGGAGAAGAAGCGCCGCCATAAATTTGATCCTTGTGATCGCCATGATTGTTGCATATTTTGAGCGTTCGTTTAGATGATTGTTGCAATACATTTCGCATTAAGCTATACATACATACACATATACATACATAGTTATGTAAACTCGTACCTAAAATATAAAAGTGTTGCAATACGCTGTTGATTACACGCAAGCTGTTATTATATTAATGTAAGTTCGCCACTCAACGAACGAGACCAAATTAAAATTATTACATACTTTACTCACTAACATACATACAAACAAGCACAAAATAAATATTTTTCAAAAGTCTTGTTAGTTTTCAATTTATTTGTTTTATTTTGCAAAAATCATAATTTACAAGCTCCACATACACCCCACTACGCCGCGCACTCGTTCCTTCCTTGCTTGCATCTCCTCAGCCTATACTGCGTGCTGCACTCAAGAGAAATAACTGTTGCGAAACATGCGCATATCCGAGTTCTTCGGTGGATTGATGCGCAACTTGGGCGCTTCTTCTTCGATGGCATCCAAGTTGTATTTCGAGGTGCGCGGCTGGTACTGCAGCTTGTCTTGTGGATGCTCGCAGGCGCGACTCTGATACTCCTCCAACGGCTGGGGATCGTAGTAGAATTCGGTTGGGCGCCGACGGGGATAGAGTTCCATTTGGTTGGTGGGACCAAAGTTGTTCTGGAATAAACGAATGCGAATGCCGATTGAAATTTGAATTGAATAGAAAAGTCTAAGATAATAAACACGTAAGGACAACATTTTCGCAATAACTCACCATTGAATATACGGAATTCATAGACAAAAGCGAACTCTGCAAACTCGGCAATGAGCCGTTGCTAAATAACTGTAAAGATAATAAAAAAAAATTGTATAAATTTGTATAAGAATAATAGCGTTGGCCAATGTCTACTACTTACTTTGGATGGAAACATTTTTTGGCACAAATATAGAAGTTGCAATATAGGAAATTTGAAAAAATTTGAAAATTTTCTTAACTAAAGATGAATTTTGCGCTTTTTCTTTTTCGAATTCAAAGACAGATAAGATGTTTTGAATTTTTTATATTTTCTTTTTTTTTGACACTGATGAGTTTTACATTATTTTTTAATTCATTAATTACTTTTTTCTCTTTAAGCACTTTGAAGTCTTGCTTTGAAATCTATTAGATTATCCATATACATACATACATACATATGTACACATTTCAAAACGTTTATTTGTTTTCTGTGATCTCCGAAACTACCTGGTAGATTATACAGAAATCTTTTTTAGTTTGTTTCTATGGTTCCTGGAAAGGTTTGTACGCTTTTTCGAGAAGTGAGCCAGGGAATGACCCATTAAAAAATCGTATATATGATTCGATTTACTTGAAATTCAATACGTAGGTAGCTCCGGAATCCAAGATCTGGATCAGACCCCGACCCATTCGAAACTTGCGCTCCTTCTATTTGAAAACTCGGCCTTAGCGAACTGTGGACGACATTTCCAGCTTAATATATACCATCCAAAAATTAGATAAAATTCAATTAAAAAAGAATTAAGTAAAATTTTCTAATGGCGGTCGCTCCTCAGTGGTGAATGCCAACCCCTCTGAGTGTATTTCTGACTTGAAATAAAAGCTCCTCATAAAAATCCATCAGCCGTTCGGAGGTGAATTATTCTAAACTGTAGGTCCCTCCATTTGTTGGAAAACCATCAAGATGCAAAACTACAAATTGGAGGAGGAGCTCGGCTGTAAGTCACTTCAGCAGTTACATAGTGTCAATTACGTACATATGTATATATATATACAACTGCAAGCAAAAGCATTCGCTTTTGGCAAAGCCAAAGAAGATCTGGTAATATGAGAAAAAACCGTGTCGTAGTAAAGATAAAAAAGACTGCCCACCTACAACGTTGCGATCGATGGCAACGAGGAAGATATACGAAATATACCGAAAGTTAAAGGGAGAAGCTGAAATTCGTGAGTACGAAGATTAGAACAACTGCTCGAAAATTTTGCTCTAAAATGCTTCGTCCCACAGAAGGTTTAAAGATCCGAGTTCTTTCCTATTGAAACGAGAAAGTACATCTGGTCACTGATGTTCAAACTATATTGAGTTCATGGAGGGGGCTTAACTGCAGTGGGAACGAAACACTCGGAGATGCAAACCCGAATCCCCGTTCGATTCGTTCGTTGACAACATCCCATCAACCGAATTTGAGAATTTTGAAGAGAAATGTTTTGCGAAAAATGTATGGTTCTCTGCTTCTGGGCGACAGCGAATGCCACAGCCGATATAACGAGTTAAAAGACAGCGACCACGTCGTCTAGGACGATTTTCAGTTTGGAAAGTATTCGATGCAATGCCCGCTGCAGAAAGCAGAGGAAGAGGAAAGCCTCCACAGCGGAAGGAGGTTTACGAAAAGAACCTAGCTTCACTTGTTATTCCTCAAACAATGAAACGAAATTATTATAACGGCAATAATCGCGTAAGCAATGTCTACTCAATAAATACTTCAAAATCAAAATGGGTTCCGTTGTTCCTCTCGCTTCTATCGCTCGTCTTCCTAATTTTTTTTATACAATAAAGAAATAAAAATCTGCGGTGACGCTTAGGAATTAAAAAAAAAATTACATAATGCAAATATAATACCTTTTTTTGCCTTTTTTGTATCTTCGAAAGCTTAGTCATAAATTTTGACCTTAAGACTTACAATGCCGTTGATACCTTTCTCAGTCAATACATATTTACAGAGTACGAAGTTTGCACAGATGTGTAAATAAAAAAATACGCAAAACAAGTATAAATAAATAAATAAATATTCATTTTATTTAGTCTCTTTAACATTCAAAAACACACAAATATATGTTTATATTCAACACAAATACTTTATACATCCATATATATAGCATACATATGTATAATATGCATTAGATTACAAGTATAATTACTTATTTAGTATATATGAGCCTACGGGAAAAACGCAGAGTTCGGTAGGAATGTTTCAGGAAAAAAATGCATTTAGTTCATACATACATATTTACATAATTGCACACAAATGTATGTGATATAAAACGACATATGTATATGAAACTCCATGCACTTGATGCAATGCATATTCCATGAATTTTCAATTAACCACGAATTTACAAAAATGCTGAAGTGATTAGCTTGAAGAGTTGAGTTTTTGAGTTGTGTCCGCAACTTCACATTCATGTGAGTTGTTTTTAATTTTCATCTCTTACCGAACGCAACTCGCGCCCAATAGCTTGTGTCTCTAAATTGATCGCACTACTGAGTCCGCCATGCGCTAGTAGGTCACCAACTTTGGGTTCGGTGAGACAATTGTCACTTTGCAGCTTCGAATTGATGTTATCCAAATTAGGCGTTTGATTTGAACGCTTTCGTCTCACGTGCTCAGCATTGATGGTGTCGTTCTCAGTGTCGCCCGCAGTTACGCCGAAAATTGGGTACTTCTTTGAGCTTTCGGATTTTACCTGCAAAATATCTCGGCGTATAGCATCCACATTCTCTTTTTCTTTCTCATCAGAGGTGTGGGCGTTTTGCACTATGCGCGGTTCAAGTGGTTTTACTTGCGTCGCATTTTCAGCCTTACTATCTATAGTGACATTCTTATTACCGGTGGTATGTTGGTTTGATTTGATGAGTTGGTTTTCTAAAACTTCGCGTGTTTGTTTATTTGATAAGCCTTTTGTATTGACGTTTGAAGCATTAAACAGAACGGCCAAAGGAAGTGGTAAAAGCGGTTCCAGTTTACTCTCATTTTTTACTTTTTCAATGAGTTCGCCTGCTTTGTAGGATAGTGGTTCATATACCTTTTCCTTGTCGCGTGTATCTGCTTGCTGTTCGGAGAGTATGCTCAGTAGTGAAGGTCTTTCATCCGAACGGATTGACGCCGCAGCCATGTTTGGCATATCAACTTTGGCTTTTTCTTTAGCTTTGTCGGCGGGCATATTAAGCTGTTTGGACAAGTCACCATTCATTTTAATCTCTTGCGCTGAAAATTGAACGGATTCCTTATTTTGTACCTTCATTTCAATTTGTTCCACTTTTTGCACAACTCTTTCTAATTTTTCTGCCACCAAATTTTGTGTCTCTTCATTTTGTTTCGCCAATTCATGTTTCAATTGATCGACGGTACGCTCCAGTAATTCTTTGGTCTGTTTTAGTTCTTTACGTGTTTCTTTAAGCTCAACATCGCTGCTGCTTTTGGACGCTTTTTGACCATTTTTCAATTCCTCAGCGGCTATTTCTTCGTCCTTCTTGATGGCTTCCTTATCAATTGTTTGTTGTTGTTTCTGTAGCAAACTATTTGATGGGCTTTCGTTAATTTCCTGTTGTTGTTCTGGCTGAGGTTGCTCACTAGGTAAGGGATTCGCTGGTAACGGCTTAATATCTGATGGTGCTACCTTCTCAGGTTGTTTTTTGATTTCTTCCTCTAACTTAAACACCTCGCCGTCTTGTTTTTTCGGCACGACTTGCAACGGCATCACATTCACTAAACTTCCGTCGTTTTCGATTATCACTTTTTCCGGCAATTTTGATTTCTCTTCGTTATTATTTGCATTGGCTGCTATAGGAGCCTGCGGCAGGGCTTTTGCAGGGGTTGCATCTTTCAAATAATCAAATTTGATCTTTTCTTGCTGAACATTTGATTCTATTGGATTATATATTAACTTTTCTTCTCCTACATGAGCACTCTCCGCTCTCATCTTATCCCTAGGGGACTTAGAGAGAGCAAGGTCTATTACTTTGATGGCTTCAGTTGCTCTTACTATATTCGTAACTTCCAATTCTTCTGCTACATGTAAATGCGCACCGGACCGCTGTTCGTCGATAGCATGCAAATTGGCGTAGGTACCCAGAACCATAAGGCAAAAGCCGCTTATAAATATAAACTGTGCTAAGGATCGCTCAAAAGAGTCCTTTTTTACAATTTTCCGAAAACAAAACGCCGGAAACATTATACATATAGCAACACCAATGGTGGATCCCACCAAGCCGATAATCAACTCAATCGAAGGGATCATAAGCGCAATTCCGAGAGCGCAACCAACAAGGCAGGTTGTTATGACCTTAAAACGGGTCTCTGGTATGTAACCACTGGTGTCAGTGTGACCCTGAAATTAATTGGGAAGCTTACATATGTATATGAGATAATATATATATGATATATGTGTGTTGTAATACCTTGCGGTAGAGTAGTGAATATATGCTGGCCCGGCAGGGAAATATGACAAGCGGAAAGCTGAAGGCAACCGATAGCACGAATCCAATTTTGATAACATCACTACCAAAGGAGGGCGAGAAGTTCATCAAAATATTACCTAAATTATTATTATTGTTTGATATATTGTTATTTATGGAACTTACAATCAATATAGAATTATTATTATTATTGCTTACCAGAAAAGGTTTGTGTGCAGAAGGCGACATAACCGAAAAATCCTACAGCTATGTAAACGAAAGTACATATCCAAGTGGCATTGCGTACAATTCCATTCAACTTTTCAACGCTTTGATTATTTATGCTCTCGAACACTTCAAAAAGTTGCCTGATAAAGGCAAAGGTTTACTTTGAAATAATATTTTTATACATATTTGTATCAGTACTATGTGTGTATGAGGTAAGGGATCGAAAAAAAGATGTAAAAATGTTAGGAAAAAATCGCAAAACTAAAATCTTAAATAAAGAAATATTTCCAATTATAGTATTTATTTAAATTAGTTTTAGAAAACTACCAATAGAAATACTGAATTAAAAATTAACTCAAAACGAATTTCAAAAAACCCTTAACAGTCAGTTAAATCAAAAAAATTATTATTTATTCATATTATATGAAGGAAATAGTTAAAATTTGATCAACCAAAATTTCCATTAACCTATATTATTATGATCAAAAGCCTAAATTATTTTATTTTAAATTTTCAATTTTAAGAAATTATTTACCGATGTAAAATTCTTAGAAATGACAACATTTCAATATGAAAAATTCCCCTAGCCCTTTTTTTTTAGATTTTCTTTTGTAAATGCAGAGGTTCGGGGTAATGAGTGATATTATATACATATATGTAGATGAATGCTTTAAAAAGTCACAAAAGATATGCCTTGTGCAGAATTTATGTATAATAAAAAAAGAAAACCATTGACTCTTACATTTGACATGAGAGCGCCATACTGAAAATGGGTAGACATTGTAGAACGCCAGCCGGTCGCCAATACTCTACTTTCTCCACCCAATCGTGTGTCACAATATGTTCCTCTGATTCCAACACGATCTTAATAACCAAACAAATATAAAAGCCAATTGATGCTGCGCATACTGATGAAAGACTATCAACATTTTTCAACATCGCCAAAGGTAATATGCAAAATAATGTTACACATAACATCACCCAGGTGCGGAGGTGAGGAAAGTCGGTGGGATTTAGTGAAAACATTTTCGAGACGATTTGCGGTCCCAAATCACCCATCACTACGAAATATGTAATGGACGTACCGAAGAGATAACCGATAATACATAATTCAGCAAGCAGTTTGCCAGAAGTACCAAAGGCATGAAAACCTGAGGGGGTGAAAGAGTAAGAAAATCTGAAGTTTAAAATTTGTGATTATAGATAATATGGGTTTTTATGTATATTGGTAATTGTGGTATAAGTTTAGCAATTAAATACTTTACCCAAAAACTCGAAGCTTTTTCGACGTGTCAACAGCGAGGATTTTATAAGATAATGGCAGGATATACGAGTGATCCAATTGCTAATGATAAGTAAAAGGACTGAGAGTATAATGCCGCACTGGAAAAAGAAAACAACAAGGAAAATCAAAAAATGTATAAGGTAAGTACATAACTGATCGCCTACATATTTATGTACATATTATATACTTATTTATTGTATATTACCTATGTAGTACATATATGTACGTGTATGTAGTAGCTTTTACACCTAGCTTTAGAGGTGTGAGAAACAGAGTGATTAAATGCTAAACAAGATACATACATATGTATATACGAATGTGAGTAAATTTTGTGCCTACAAATGTATTTACCTTAGTAAATTTTTCACACTTCCGCGTAATGAATTCAATGTTATTTTCTTTCAATTAGAGTTACTGTAAAAAGATAAACTCCAATGTTTAGGGGTGTACCTACATATATGTATGTACATACGTGCATATACGACGCTAGTACCGATATTTAATTTGCTGTATTTTCAAACTCAAAACGTGGAAGACAGATAAAAGCGCCTTAGAAGTATATTACTAGTTTTATCAATAATTGTTCAAATAAAACGGTTTTTCCAATTTGATGTTCTCACTCATGTTATACAATACAATAATATTTTATATTTTTTAATAGCGGGACACGATTTTAACAAAATACGAGCGATATTGAAATAAGAGAAACATATTTCCACACTGGAACATAAATTTTGTCTAAAGATTGAAAATCTTTATCCAAAACATGATAATAACAAATATATAAAATAAGACTAAGGAACTTGTTGCTTTAATAAGTATGTACATATATCACCGAACCAGCCTACCACAAATAATCTACGTATATATATACATATTAATACTAGTTTTATAGTGGCACCCTTATATTTGTGCTTTAAAACAAATTATTATTTTAATGTAGTTTTGTTAACATTAAAATTTTTTTGTAAATCAAAATAATATTTGCTCACCTTTTGAAAACAAAACGGCATCGCTAGTATTCCCACGCCAATTATACTATTGGCTAAAGTCATAATATGTCCCGAATAAGCCAGCATGATGACAACCAAATATCAAGCCGCCGGTGAAATTATTTTTAGTTGATTTTCCGATGAAGGATTATCAAGTCCACAGCTGCAAAGGTTATCAGGTGAAGACCTACTAGCAGGGTCACCGTAAAACACTCATTGAAAAAGCAACCTTCGGAAAGTAGCAAGTTCGTCGCTCAGCTGTGTAAAACAGTTGTGGGCGTTAGGAAGACCAATAATGTGAGTTGGTATTTGCGCATATGTATAGCTTCAAGCCAAAACTTCGTCATTAACTTTCTCTGGTTTAAAAAAAATCGTACTTGTTGGCACAGCAAAATATCGTCCGCCTACAAAAAATATACACATGGAATTGTATTGCACATTTTTCAATATCAAGTGAAATATCATCTATAAATTAATAAAGTTTAGTACACGTACTCTTAGAGTTCAATACCTAAAACAACAGATAAGATAATAAAGGTGTTTTAAGCACATAGCACAAAAAACAATTTATATACTTGAATTTTGTTTTCGCACTCATATACATACATATGTTTATAAAATCAAAATAGCTAGTTCATTCGTGTTATAAGATTGATATTTTTAAAATGATTGACGCTGTGGCAAACGATTTCATACTGACTCAATTTGGTAAATACTTGTTGTTTATGAACAAAGCAAGCGTTAATAAATTTGTCAAAACAAAGTCCCGGAGAAAAATAAAACAAAATCGCTGGCAGAAGTAAATATAGCCAGATGAAAATAAAAATATTCTCATTATGAATTGCAAACGAATGCGAAAGTATGCAAATAATTTGACAAAACTCCAAATAGCTTTATAATAATCTATAGAAATAGTTCATTTAAGCAATCCATCATTGGTTATTATTAAATTTTTATTTAATAACGTTTAAAAATAAAAAAAATTGCTAATTTTCAACGTCTGGCAGCAACTTAATGGCGTGTATTAGAATGGCACTACTGGTACTGAGATGCCGGCGTAGTTTTCATTAAAACTTTTAACTTTTTGCGTGGATGTAACGATTTTCCAAATTTTTCGAGTTCGATCACAGGACTGTTAAATAAAAGTCACTGTGGGGAATTTTATCGAAGTTTATTCATTATTTAATAAGGTTTTTCCCGATAGGGTGGGTAAAATTTACTTTAGTGTTCAAATATTTTACAATTTGTTGTGCCAAATAAAATCTTAAATTTTGATTCAAAATCTAAACTTAAGAATCACTCTTTTTAATAATAACAATAAGTACATTCAATTAGCACCCAAATGTTGTTTGTTCTTTCTATTATTAATCAAAGTTTTACCTGGCTTCTTGTTCTAGCATTTGTACTTATCACGAAAAATGATAGAATTTCATTGTTGGCAGCCTAAATAACTTTTTGCTATACTATTTCCCCTCAGTTTATTCTCCTCTGAACACCCAATTTACTAATCGTGCACTTGTTGGTAAACACACATTTTATTGCGCTATATTTTATTCCGATGCTGTTACCAAAGAGTTCACTTTTTCACTAGCCAGCACTGTAATATACCTCACTGGGTGCGACTGTCGCGGGAGCTATTGGATTGCAGTCGACTCTTACGACAGGCGTTGGTGGCATATGCCTCTCTTTCTCATGTGTGATTCCATTTAAACATTTTCGCCAAAGTACAAGGGAAATTGTTCCTGCTATCATCTGATTTCACAATCTGGCAGCCTTATCAAATGGCACTACTAAAATCAGTTCGGAAAGTTGGCTGCGTTGATATAACGCCAGAAGAAAACTTGACTTTGTATTTGAAAACAAAAACTTCAAAAAAGACAAAGGTGAATAATTTATTTTTGCCGCGTTTATGTGAGTTTAAACAAATGGAAAAGAAAACGTCTTGCGAATATGAAGAGGCCTTTAAAGGTACGAGAGAAATGGCTCTCAGCGCAATGCAAAAATTGCAGTTGGAAATAAAAGCGGCGAAGGATAATGACGGCAAGGATAGTAATAAACGTCAATTGCAACTGGTCCTGATGGTTTTACGTACGATTTGTACTGTAGCTGCAAAACCAGAGGGCAAACACTACTCCATCTACTGCGAAACCTTGATTCATGTTCTCGGAAAGTATATTCAGCCATCTGTATCTGCCAAATATTGGACATTTTATCTGGAGCACGTTCGTTATTTACATTATATAGTAGCAGATAAGGTATGTAAATGAATTATTATCTAAGGTCGTTGTTTCAAAATTATACTTTCCATGTCAGAAAATGGATGACGAAGCCCAAAGGATATGTGATCTTGTTGTAAGCTACCCTAGTTACCTCCAAAGTGAAGGCGACTACAAAATCCTCCTGGGCATGTTTTTACAACAACTTCTAAGTCAATATCACCACAAGCGTGTGAATGCTAAACTTGCACAGGAGCATAGTACCGTTATATTGGAAATGCTAAAAAATTTTTTTATAGAGATGTTGCGTTGCAACAAAGATCAAAATTTTCAATATCCTGAGTTAATTGCAGATTTCGTCGAATACTTGGTGCCAAAACGAGTTTCATCAGTGTTTAATTTTCTCGCATCTTTACCTGCTAATAAAACACAAATGTATGACTCCTTCTTCACCCTCCTCAAAGATCTCCGCACATCGGAACCGACCAAAGAAGTCCTACACGCACAATGTCAACGTCATATTGAAGCGTTGTGTGTTTTTTTCCAGCTTGATGTACCTGATAGATTGCAACAACAATTGGCATTGCGACATTTGCGCGCTTGTCGCGAGATGACAGTGTTCGCAAATGATAAAAGTTCGAATTATGTATTTTCTCTGTTATATTATCTGGTTAAGTTAACCTATGGTTTGCCTAACCCAGGAGAGTTTAAAGACGTTTATAAAGATCTCAGCCAAAAATTAAATATCTTTTTCGAAAAATATGGCGAAATGTTAATGAAAGAACGATGGTTTACAGATGTTCCCGTTGTAATTACCGTATTACTAACACATCTGCAACAGAGTCCCACAACGCCCTACGCCTGTTTTTGGCAACAAATGAATAACATTGAATGTTATATTGCACATTTCGAATTGATACTGGGTTGTATACGTTTGGCGCCACGCATTGTCGAAACGAAGCTGCTAAAAATTGATTGTTGCACCAGTGCTAGAAAACATACAATAGTTTCGCTGCTAATTACCGCGCTGGCAGCTCTTGCATCCTACGCGGCAACAGCAGACGAATCAACAACGGAAGATGAGGAACTTTTTGTCAGTTTCCGTACCCAAGTGCTGCTAGTAATGAAGCATGGCGTAAGCGTACTCGATTCTCTCCAGTGTATTACAACTGATACTACAGAATTGAAGCTGATTTATTCACGTTTCATTCAACTAATACCAGAGCTGCGAACTTTACCGCTAAAACGACTGGGGATTACGCTCGCTGAATTTCTCGTACGCGTCCGTCATAAGCTGTCGGTCAAGGACTGGACAACATTATTACGTCGTTTGTATAAAATGATGTTACAAACCGAGGAAACGAATTTAACAACGGAACTCCAAGCTGCTCACATTGCTTCAATGATGCAGGAGCAACCTTGGCCTGATCTTTCACTATTACGCAGTCGCATTGGCTATTTCCACTCTGCATCGCCACATGTCGCGTCCGGACAAAGTATTTCGCAATTGACCTTGGAAAGTCATAGTCCATTGAAAGTTTTCTTAGACGCACCTCAGACACATTTACTACATTGGTTAGAGATGCAGCATTTCCTGAGATATTTGAAATCCAATGAACAACTCCAAATTAACCTAATGCGTTGTAGTCCTACAATATATTATGAGACCTTGATTGCGCGCATTTCGGAAAAAATGTCAACAGCAGTATCTAGTCGGCTACGCGAACTTAAAAAGGATTTGGAGCTTAAAAAAGAAAAAACTGTTGGATTGACAAGGTTGGAACACCTCTGCTGGGCGCAAATAAATACTGCACTTTTTCATGATGATTTGCAAATGAATAAGGAAATGTTGGCTGTGGAAATTAAAACCAATGAAGATTATTTGGAGGACTTACTCCAAAGCAAAGAATTCACCACAGTGACTATAGCAAATGAAGTTAAATTGATAAACCAGGCAGCCACAGCATTACAGAGTTTTCGCGAATTTTATGAGAAGGTAAACATTTTATCATCTTAAATTTGACCATAACTTTATTCAGTTCTCAATTAAATAAGCCAAATGGTTATTGATTTCCACTTATAAATTTTTTGCATATATATTATTGGCTTTATTCTTTTAGGCAGACAGTGAACCGATTACTAGTGATGAGGTGTTCATCGACTGGGATGCACTCGTTGATGATTTAACTTCTCTTGCACTTTTTATGCAATTGGCAGGTTACACGAATTTAGCTACAGAAGCCTGGATTCTACACTATCGCATCACAAACACCATATGCGACGAGTACGGTTCCCTACGTAGTCTTCAATATTTTTTCGAAAAAAATGAGTACTTCCTCAACTCGACGACTCATGGCATTAATTTGGTTGAAGAAATAGAGCGCAAACAGAATTTCCTACTCAATGCCATGCAACAGCTGCCTAAGATCGTCAAGAAATATCAAAATCACCTTCTCATGTGTCTCTGTCATTTAGCTTGTTATTATGCAAAAATTGGTCATATGAGCTATGCACAAATCTTGCTGAAATACGTCTCACAAATACACGACGAATTGCCCACCCAACTCGGTAAATATAATGTGGTCCTAGGCACCGTCGATGTGGTTAAATTTCGTATTTTGTGGAAGCATTTGCACATGGGGCAAAGTAAGATTTCAAGCAAACTGGCGCAACGTTCTTTGGTGCGTCACATGGAGAACACTTTGGAGCGCTTTCGTGGAGACTTTTTCAAACTCTCGACTAGTGAGCTATTGAACTATTCGATATTGTTAATGAGTCTTATAGAAGAGGTGGCGGAATGTGCAGCCAATCGATTGTGTGATCAATTTGTGAATTCATTTTTCGCTGGCATATTAAAGCTTTTATACCAATCAGGTTCCGCTTTGCGCGTCATACAAGTCTTAGCTATGTGGGCTTTGATTAATTTACAAATGGAATATATACCAAAAGCGCAGGTAAGCAGCCATTAATAGAATACAATATTGATCATAATGTACATGTTAGTATAAATAAATTTTTTTTAAGGTTAAATTGAAGCTAATTGAATATATGTTGGGTTTAAGAAGTCTTGAAGAAGTGAAAGAAATGAGAGAGAAACCAGCTACAGCAAAGAAGTCAACAACGGCCAGTAGCGCCCTGGAATTTGTGCAATCGGGCATGGAACCGCTGCGTAGAATGATATCGTTATACGCATCACCCATAAAATCGGTATGTTAATTTTCTTTAAATTGCTTGTAAAAATATCGGTAGATCAGCAATATGCCGAATATAAGTCACTTTTAACTTTCCTATCTTGCGAATTCGTTCACATTTCTATATTGTTCTCCTCCTTAAACTCAGATAAAGTTGCTGCTTAGTCCTTCTGCACGTAGCGAGGGTAAATTTGATCACTTTCTCCATATGCAATGCAACGATACCCTGCAACAATATGAAATTTTCCAGTGGTGTTGCTTCATGCTTGGCTGTTTAACTGCAAGACTCCACTACCTTGCCGATAATCACGAGAATCTGGAAGATTTTTATGAAGCTAGTCAACAGTGGTTGGACGAGCGCCCGCAAACAGACCTACACATCAGTTTCCAAAATATACAGCTCATGCGCTTGCAGCATTACGCAAACTTCCTTCGCTCACAAAAAAAATACGAGAAAGCTTTGAACTGTCTTCAAGTGGCTTTGGACAGCTTCTCTAAAATGAGGGGTAATGTGGACAATGTGTATCACATTAACTTTCTCTTACAGTTGAACGCTACTAAAAAGGAGATGTCTGTTAGCAAACAAACCGAAAGCCGTGGTGGCTTGCGACGGGCTTTAACATTCAATATTTCACCGGATTTAGAAACACCAGTTTCGACAGCATGGAATAAGTTAACCACCACCGCTATGAAAATATATGCCTCCGACGATTCTACACCACAACGCGCTGCTGAACCAGCGAAAAAATCTGCTCATGAGACAAATGCACAAATTTCAAAGGCTAGGAAATTAAGAAGGCAAATGGCAGGTGAATTTCCCTTCAAAACTCCAGCGAAAGCAGACATTGTAAATGTAAAATCAAGCACGAAATCCTTAACGGCACGAAAAATAAAAGAGCTTAGAGCAGCCAAAGGCGACCTTTTCAGCAGCTCATCTAATAACACGCCGGAATCAGATGTGGACATTTTGAATCAATGCCAGCGCATACAGTCCATTGATCTGGTCGACAGCGACGATGCAAATAGTAAACAAAGCGAAACGCCAATCGTCACCGTCAACACTGACGCCAATCAAATCAATAAAAGAAGCGTTCGTAAGACCGGTAAACACAATGAGAACATTATGGATATTTGTCACAAAATTGAATCTATTAATTTGGTGGACGAACCAACAGTAATCTCAAGCGATAGTGGTACATCTACACTGCAAGCAACAGCAACGAAAGCTCATACACCAGAAATCGTTGGCATAACCGATGACGCTGACAGCTTCAAAACCCCGGACTCCACTTTTGGCAAACTTACAGCGCCTCCAAAGACTACAAATACTAGAGGTACCAGCAAAAAGGCCAATTGTACCACACAAACGAAGTGCAAAAGCAAAGAAAGTATTGCGAACAATGAATCGACAGAGACGAATACCTCTACAGCTAGCAGCGAGACAACGACGATAAAGCCAAATGACCCACAAGTAGAGATGATCGAAAAAATCAAGATAACTGAGGATAAAAAGGCCACAACAACTAAAATGAAGACGCGTACAAAAACCGAGGTGCGCACCGTGAAAGTTATCACTGTGGAAACGGAAGTGAAGATTATCACGCCTGCCTCGCAAGCCGCTAAAAAGGAGAAAGAGAAGTCAACTTCCGGCAGCACAACGCGTGGACGTCCTCGAACCGCACGGAAAGCGCCATCTTCTACCAACGGTAATGAAAACATTGCACCGCCAGTGACCGTCGGCCGAACGTTAAGCAGACGTGCCAGACAATAATTTCTAGTTGAGATATTAATTTTGACACTAGTTACACTTCTGTTACACTTTATTTATTCACTTTTTCCATAAACCATTCCTAGTTATTCTAGTTCAATCTTACATTATGTTTTAAGTAGTTTAGTATCGTTTTATTTTTAATGTCATACATATAGATTAATCTCAGTTTCTGATATCAATAAATAATTATAAAATATACCTTTTTTTTTTTGGTGAGAAAATTTAATTTTAACCTGTGAACTCCATTGATATCTTGGTTCCGACGTTTAATATTCCCGAAATGATTCAGTTCGTGTAGCTATATATGTATGTACGAGTATGTATACATTTTATAATTGGTACTTTATAACCGCTAAAGGGACGAAGATTTGAGGAGATAGTGGGGCTTCCGTTTACGGCGCCCAACTAAGGATATGAAAATCCTTTAATATGTCAAATCATTGCGATTACTTCCAAGCTGAAATATTTGCTATAAAATGGCGGCAGAGCGCAGACCTTCAAAGGAAGAGCATACACATTTATGTTGACAGCCTAGCGGCTTTTAGGGCCTTAATTTCAAATATCAGGAATGCGGCTATACAAAGAGGTGATAAAAACAATGTCTGAAAAATAAGAGCTTAGCTGTAGTGGGTGCCAGGCCAAATTGGCATTAAAGGCAATTAGTTAGCTGACAAAGTGGCTAAAGCGGGAGTCATAGAACAGAGAGGATGAAATGAAGCAAATCCAAGAAATAATCTTACTTCGTGATGCTACGAGCCAAGGAAATGCGCAAAGGGCTGCAGACTAGTCAAAATTATTTGCGAAGCTTATGATGCTAAGCTTACTAAGAATTTACTATCGGTAAAGAGACCGGTGCACCTAATCTTGGCGCAGAAACGTTTTATGACCTTCAATCACCAATAGCCAAGAGACCAAAACGTCTACTTCAATTTGCGAAAGGACAGCAATATTCATCACACCAGAGACATAATAAGGTGTAGCTTAGAGTGTCCGCCAACGTTTATGTGAGACCCGATGGATCGCCCGATTTTTCATATTTTTTTCCAATTAGTTTCGACGTATTTTGATTGGAGTATATTTTTCATGGCGTGGGTCCCGACCCTTAAACACAAGCGCAGACGAACTCGTTTTTTCACTTAAGCTGGTATCTAGAGGGCATCTGGTCTAAGCCTGGACCATATTATCGCTTAAGGAGTGATCACACCGATGAAGAAGTGAAGAGGAAAACGTTGACACGATGAGTTTCCGTTATTAATCCATTATCTGAGAATTTTCAGTTCTAATTTCCGCCATATAAATGCGTATGGAAACTCCGACCGTTGGAAAAGAGCGTCAAGTTCGCTCCTTAAGTCTTTTGTTTCCTTATAAATTATTGTACAAAGGCATGTTCTCGTACATACATACGAGTATATTTCAATCGCTGAGCTCGCACGATTAATTGCTCGCATGCGAAAGTAAAATAAATTTATTGCTGACACCAAAAAATCCTTTACGCCTTAATTTTTTTTTTTACAAAAAATTTTTAACGGTAAAAAATTCAAAAGTTTTTGTGCAATACTCGCCCCTACATTGCACTTTAAACAACGCACCAGACGCTGCATTGTGGCAGCGCGCTTTGGGAGTGGCATTTTATCCGCGAATCATCTCATCTCATCATCAGCATTGCCCTTTTTAAAATGCAAGCCAGCAAAGGCAGTAATTTCCAAATTAAAAAAAAAATAATAATAATCAACAAAAACAGCAAAAAAAAAATATTTAAATGTTCGACGACAATTTTGATCGCATTTGACAAATCCACAAATGAATGCCAAGCATGCGCACAGTGCAAAAATCGGTAAATAAAACGCGCTCCATTCCGTCACTGGACGAACACAAAGCGACAAAGCAAAGGCTGAAACAAATAAATTTTATTAAAAGAAAAAAATAAAACAAATACAAAAATGAGTTTCATTCACTAGGGAGCACCATAGAGGGTAATGGTGACGCCAACAGTCAAGCCAACGGCGCTACGATGCGCTCTCTATTTGTATTGTTTTTGTAAATTCGATAATAACCCGTATTTTCAAATTACCACATGAATTCCTCCCAAAATTACTGTTTTTTGGGTTTTCCGTTTCAACTTTTTCCTATTACTTTACTCACTCTACATCCGATGAATTAATTATTGCCTTAAATTAATTAATTTTTTTTAATATCTCCGCATTGTTGTCAGCAGAAACTCGGGGAATCAACGAAGGTGAAGTATTTTCGCTGCTTTTTCGTTGGGAAGTCTATTGCCACGAGAATTTCGATTTATATTTCAGTTCATTGTGAGGCTAGATTAGGTTAGTTCGTCCTTTGTAGAGTCAGACGGAGGTCCGTTTTATTGCGATATAAAGTGGTTGTCGTTTAGAACGTCAACGCTTTTCGCGAAGTTCAAGTCTAAGTTTTTTGAACTAAGAAGCTCCGAGATATCTAACATGAAATCTGGCTGATGCAGAACAGAAACAGAAAAGGTCCTTCAAAATCTCGCTCTTGCCTTCCCCTCTGCACTCCCTAGTAGTAGTGACACATATCTACTACTAATGCCCATTCGGCCTGCATTGGATGCCAGTAGTTGTTGACCTGCAGTCCCTGCGTGTATGTAATAAAACGTAAAATGGGTCTTTTCCCAGCCGCTAATGCGTTCCATCTCACTCTGATCCGGCAGTCAGCTCATTCCATTACATAAATAAGAGTTTATCGTTTTTCTTTTGTATTGCCTGTGCTGGTTCGATGGTAAGACAGATGACAATTTTGGCAATTTTATGTACTTTTGGCCTGGAATATAGTTTATGGGCCTCGGTGCTTCTAAGGGCATTTTTTGATGCAAAACTATGAGATATTATTGCCATAACTGCCCCTTGGCTATCGACAGCTATTTCAGTAGCTGTTCCTACAACGATGAGCTCCGCCTGGCAAGTACTGGAAAACTCTGGTTGCCTAGTTCAGCGCAAACAGCAATTTTTCTGCATTGTTGTAGATGTTGTACGTACCACAGGCGGGTCGCATGTTCCTATGTCATCTGCCCTTCTGGAACGTAGCTTGAAAGCATGTAGGTATGTAGTCCATTTGGTTCACCATCCCCCTCCATATGGCGCTGTGCACGAAAGTTTTGATGCAGATCAGCTCGAGTCCATCCATCTCTTGCCAGGTTTCGTTTCAGATTGATGGTGGTCTAATAACCTTCCAAGTGCTGCAGTTTAAGTGGTCCTTAGCGCTCGTATTGGATGAGTGCATAAGTTCGTGCCCGATTTCAAGTGCAAACTAAAATTGAAATTTTTTGAAGAAAGCGCTTTTATTAATCAGTTATGTATTCGCCATCATGTTCGGCAATCCACTCCACAATCCACCAATTTACGGATGCCTGATTCATAGAAATCGCGCGGTTTCTCGTTGAAAAAGGTGTCAAGGTGGTTTTTGACGCCTTCCACGTTTTTAAATTTTTTTCCATTCAAATTGTTCTGCAGCGATCGAGACAAATGACAATCAGAAGGTGCAATGTCGGGTGAATATGGGGGATGCGGCATGATTTCCCAATTCATCTCCTTCAGTTTGGCCAGGGTCGGTTTTGCAAAATGTGACCTGGCGTTGTCATGATGGAAAAGAACTCCTTTGTGCAGCGAGCTGCTTAATCATTCCATTGGGTTTCTAAACGAGAAATTGTTGGCAGCGATCCAATAATGCATAACGCTAGGGGGTATGTCCCATGTGGTACCCTGCATTTTGTTACAGGGATAAAAGGCATCAGGGCCTTTCTTTGCGAGGCTAACTTTTATAATTTTTCATTTGTCAATTTTTTTTTGAGGACCTGACCGCAAGCGCCGCACATAAGCCATAAATTTCTTCCAACTCTAGACACACGAAACATACACGTATGCACATATTGTGAATGTAAATTTAAATTTAATTTTTCAAATTTGTTTACAAAAAGTTCATGTCGATGATAAAATACTTAAGTCAATTTAATTTTGGGAAAGAATTAAGAAAACAAAAAACCGGTTACTCGAAAAACTTCTAACGATGTGAAATTGCCCAAATTGGAAAAGCAATTCCTTCGCTTCACCGCAGAGGCTTAATCAAGGCCGTGGCTTCCTTCATTTGCTTATCCCGTCGGAGTTGTGTCCTTTTTCTTAGCGATAATCATATACATACAAATATACTTTACACGGATGTCGGAGTAACTTTTCAGTTCTACAGCAAGCCAATTTATTCCCTTCTTTTGTTTTTACTTATTATTTGTTTTTGTTTTAATTTATGTGTACTTTGTGATTTTTTGAAATAACTCGTTTTCGTCTGGTTCAAAAAAAAAATGTAAATTACACTTAAAAATAAAGATCTTAACACATATTTGTTTAAAATTATGCATTTTTTTAAGTGGAATCTGGGTTATTGTCATAGCCGTCTGTTCCGCTATTAAGGGTGTATTAAACTTGTTCATTAACGGTTATTACTGACTTGTACCCAAACATACGAGGGAAAGCTGACCAGAAAACGATTTTTATCTTCTCTACATAATCACCGTTGATTCGAATGCACATCTTAAGCCTATAAAACCACTTCTGAAAACAGTCTCCAAAATCTTGATTTTTAAGCCTATCAAGCTCAGCATTAACCGCATTAACTATCCAATCGTTGCAAATAAAGATCTTTCCTTTTAATTTTTTTTTTAGATTCAGAAATAACCAGAAATCACAAGATGCTATATCAGGGGAATATGGTTCTGGACGTATCTCTTCGTTCCCAGAGGTCGCCATAAAATTACTCGTTATTTCAACATTGTGGGATGGCGCATTGTCATGATGTAAAAAGTAGCGTCGCAAATCCTCTTTCTTCCTGTTTTTCAACAAATTTTTGAAAACTTTTGATAAGCACTCTTCGGCGTATCAATTTGCAGTTAGCGTGCGGTGAAGTAACTGACATCATTGCTTTTGCTGCTATTTTTTGTTGTTTAGATTTTACGGGTGTGTATGCTCCTGTTGGGCTTCATACCAGGGACTGCTGTTTGGTTTCTGGATCGTTTTTATAGGAACAAGATTCGTCGCTAGACTGACCGTTTTCGAATTTGTTTAGGAAAAATTGAGCAAAATGCACTCGAGCTACTTTTTGGGCTTCATTTAAAATTCGTGGTTCCCATCGAGCAGATTTTTCGTGTATCCCAGATGGTTACTTAATATGTGCGATACAGCCATGGAAATCATTAGCAATCGTTTCGTATATGAATCGTGGATCTTTGTCAATTTTCGACTTCACCAGAGTGACGTCATCAGGGGAAGTTTTGGTCGAACTTCTCGGGCCTCGTCCTCAACGAAAAAACGTCCGTTGTGAAATCTTCGGAGCCACTTGGAAACAGTCTTTAAAACCCGTAAGTCGCAATTCGGCTTTCACTGAATTTTTATATCGATTGCAAATTACGTCAAAACCTGAAGAGAATCACATGGCAAATTTCTGTACGCGTTGGGCGTGGAGTTTCATCTGACCCATCCTCAGCTAACCAACTTAGCCGATCGTTCTAGAACTTGAAAGCCAGACGAGTAAAGTAATTGCAAAGGATTTGGTATATTTAGATTTTACAAAAACAAATTGAAAGCCACCAGCTAACCGAATTTTTATTAATCCCCTCGTGTATCTGAACCTCACCCAAAATTTAGCATTTATTTCTGCAGTAACAAGCTCGGCAAACAATAGGTCTAGCAGTAAGTAATCAATTATTTTAGCAATAAATGGATTTAGCTCCACAGGATGCCGTTAGAAAGATGATAATTTATACTAGAAAAGATAACGGGAGAATTGTTAAAGGTTTCGTCGATTTCGTGCCGGAGATTTAGATGTAAAAAGTGATCCACGGTGTGGAAGGCCAATGGCCGAAAATGTCGATAAAATAATGGAAATCGTCCAGTCTGACTGTCATGCGAGCACTGTTTCGAATGCCCCGAAGCTAAAAACTACATAAAAATTAGTTTGGAACCTCTTTAAAAAGGCTGGAACAAAATCAACTCATTTCTGTAGCAGATGGTGACTGTTGATCAAAAGTGGATTACTTGCAGCTGCGTCAAATATGGACAGTCGTAGTCAAGGGCTAGAGATGTGGCACAAACGGCCTCGAAGGCACGATTAACGGCCAGGAAGCTTTCATTATGTCTACGGTTGGATTGGCAGGGAATCCTGTACTATGTCCTGCTCCTCTAGGGCTATACTCTTAATTTGGACCTTTATTGTCAGCATTTGGACTGTCTGAACAGCTAACTAATCGCCCAGCAGTGCTTAGCTTTGCCAGCAACAAAGGAATTGCGTTTCACCAGGACAACATCATCAAATATCGATAGTGACTCAACAGATGGTTCGAAATATTGGTTGGGAGATTCTTATGCATCCACCTTATAGTCCGAATATATCAGGTTTGTGGTACCCAGTCAGCTAAGTGAATCAACACCAAGACCAAATGCGTTAAAACATGCAAAGAGACAATTAACAATTTAACGCGGTTAAACACAATGAATATCACTTAGCACCCAAGTCAAACGGATCTTGAAAGCAATTAAAAGGCGGACAAGCTAACTCGCGCTGGCTCGACCCTTCGATACCGCAAATATTGTTCAAAACAGTGGACTATAGAGAGGTAGCTCCAACAACATTGGACGTACTACTAAGTTATTATGGGGCAGCGTGTATAGTAGACAGACCCAACCGAGACTTTCATTAAGCAGAAAAGAACTCATGGGTATATTACATAGGCATCGACACCTCAGAAATTATCACCATAAGCTAGGTAAAGTGGAATCGGCTGTGTGGAGAGTATGCACAGAGGACGACAAAATGCTGGGGCGCTGGGAGTGTCCGGCCTTCAACTGATTAAAACGTCACCAAAACCTGTAGTTGAAAGCTGACATTCTAAGCAGCTTTTTTCGTGAAGACAGTTCTCTAAATCGTCCTTCGTGTAAAAGGTTATTTTGCTTTGAAAATTTGGCACTTTGGCACCTTCGTAATCATAGAAGAACCTTGCTCCTGGGCCTGCCGTTCATTCTTTCCTACTGGGATGATTGTTGCAGTATTTTTACTCATATTCAATTATCAGTTTTCAAAAATCGAAGTACAGTGCTTTAGTTCCATACCGTCTTTCTGGGTTTCCGATTTTAGATACCTTCTTCAGCTGGTAGCGCTTCTTCTGCATTTCATGCTGACTGAAGGGCAGCCGAACTGAAATTTATGCTCGTATCCAACTTTCAGGTCCACCAGAGTTGCGCACACCCCTATTTGATATTTTTAAATTTTCCAATTGAAATTCGTGTCATTAAGATTTTTTGAGCGGCGAACGAGCCTTTCGATTTATTTTTCTCTTTTTTTTTTTTGTTTTACCCAAAATTTTTAAGAATTCAGTGTTTATTTCATATTTTACATACGCACACACGTACATATGTATGCGTACATGCGAGTATGTAAATGAACAAATTTAAAATTTTATTTTAATTACATTCAAAAGTTAATTACTAATTGTGACGAAATTTTTTTCAGGAATTTTTTTATTTTTTCGCAATTAAAACGATTTCTCGAAAAGCGAAGTGTAGACTTTCATTAGAAGCGATTTTTTATTTGTTGCGAAAAATATTTATGTATATATATATATATATATTTATATTTATTTTTATTTAATATATGCATTTGCGTGTAATTTGCACGCATTGTTTACATTAATTACATTTTCAATTTAATGAATTTATTTACAAATTTAAATTTTTTATGGCATCTGCTCATCGATCATCGATCACCACGTCCCTCCGCCGGCCACAAATGCACACACAATAGAATGTCAACGTTACTCGTTTGTATTGAACTGCAACGCAACAGCGAAAACAACAAATGCAGCAGCTAAGGTCTCGGTGAAGTTGAACGACTTTTTCGTCTAGCGCGCCAAGTTGGTTGTAGCAGCACGGATAGCCACCCCCTGCTGTTGCCAGTCAACACCATCCCCTGGTGTGACAGGAACATTTGCAGCGGGTTGCATTAGGCAAGACAGAGGAGTTGTGCATTCCAGTCGGTGATGAGCGAACGTAAGCAAAATCCACTGAGCTACACTGGCATTTCTTGATTCCTCCTCTCCACGCCGCCATCATTTGTAGTTATTGTTTTAGTTAATTATAGTGCTTTCCCATTCGTCTTTTTCGCGTTCACTGTCACTAATAAGCCTCCATATTTAAGCCGGGCTTTATTGTGCTCTCCCGAAATGAAAATTGATGAGCACTTTTCTCTTTGGCCTGAACTGCTGAGTCACAGTATCGGGAACTAGTTGGTACGTTGTTGTTCTCCGCATACCAATTTGAACGCAATTCGAAACTCGTATGAAAACACCCAGCACACACAAAGAAAAATATTTTGCAATTTTGGATTTCTTCCAATTTAGAAGTTTGCCTTTTTGAGTTTAATAATTTCCGGCAACCAGATTTCTCAGAGAAGTTGAAAAAATGTAGAAGAATGTTGTGATTCCAGCTTTTCGACGTCGAGTCTTTCTTGTGTTTGTTGGTGGGCTTTCTTTGCTACACAAAGGCGAGAGCGAAATTTTGCTGTTATAAGATAGTGATCCGCATGAATGTTGGGTTCTCGGATCATACCCAAGTCAAAACAGTGAAGACATGTTGTCTGTCTATAACAACTTCATCGATCTGGTTGTGAGTTTTTCTATCCGGAGACAGCCAAGTAGCTTAATGAATTTTCTTGTGCTGGAATCTAGCACTACAGACAACCATATTCCGGGCACGGCGAAGAGGATCAGCTTCAAACCAATCGGATTGGACATTCTAGGAGCGCTTAATGAGTTTCAAATGGTCGTCAGCAAAAGTGTGCTCTCTCATCCCAGGCATTGCTAAAAAATAACTTAGCATTGGAGAAATGAGAATCTAATTTAGAAGCAAATACAACTCAAATTGAAGTTCAATAATATGGTTTGCTTGGCAAAACCATTTTTTAGTTTGTATCATATTTGTTGGTTGTGCGTGTGTGTGTGTGTGTGTGTGCACTTATCGGCCTGGGACGAGTTTCAACAAAGCGTGTTCTCTTGCCAGCGCTTCCACAAGAGCCGCACACTGTCGAGCTAGAAAAACTAAAAGCAGTTAAAGTATAAATGCCGCGGTCGTCGCGCGAGAGACTTCATTTGAAAACGAGTCTACAGACGTGTGCAACCTGAAAGTGCTGTGTACTTGACGCCCAATTTTATTTTCGCTTATTGACTTGTTTGTCCGTTTGTACACAACAAATTTGAATTGAACGAAAAAAATATTGCATGAATTGCATGGAAAAATTGAGAAAAGTGGAGAAAAGTAAAATACGAAAGTCGAAAAGTTAATTTTAAAAGCTCATTGAACAATAATAGATTTGTGCGTGTGTATGTACATACATACAAATAGACGTAAGCATAGAAATCGGAAGGTGTATTTCACTGTAGCGAAAACAAGCAAACAAACAAAAAACCAGCTTTCAAATAAAATCAATATTAAATTAGTGGAAGACTTTTGAAACGCGAAAAGTATACGAACGAAACTGTGCAGGGGGAAGCAGTAGAGGCTTACCTAATCTCAGCGAGCGAAAATATTGTGGATTTACGTCACTTTCTTGTTATTTTTGGACCATTTTAACATATTTTGTTTCCCTCAATTTCGGTCATAACTCGTATTGTGTGTCTTCGACGACGCCTGTAGCCGTCTTCAGTGCACTTAAGCAATCAATAGCGCGTCGCACAGTGGAGTAGTGAAATTGAGAAGAGACCGCAACGAGCGAGTCAGAGTCCAAGCTTGAGCCAACTGACCAATTGAAGAAAGTGCTTCGAAAGACGGAACCAGCCAGTCGAGCGAAGAGGTCAAGCCTTTGTGTATTTGCTGCGCATTTCAGTCGTTATTTGTGAACTCACGTCGCGTGGTGCGCCAGTCATCCGGTCGATCGCATGTGCACACACAATCCACCGCCACATACTCCTCACTCGCCGGATATAACGCTTATGAAGTGATTGTGCAAGTAGACTACCAAATAGCTCACGCCAACAATTGGCAGCTAACAGCCAACACAAGCTCAGCGCATCAATTCGAACATTCGTCGATGAAAAAGAAAGTCTCACTCGAGTGAAATTGTGCGAATGAGATACTGAGAAAAGCGAAACGAAGTAAATGGTAATGAAAATACACGTAAACTGAGCTTAACAGAACTTGCAAAGGAAAAAGTCGTTAAGACCACAAAATAAAAACTATAATATTTTTAAAAAATAATTTCAGAGCAACAGCTTTTTGTTGTTATATAACACAACGTGTTTTTTTTTCAAAAACGCATTATTCATTCCCTTTTTTTGAAAGTCGCACTTTTTGACATTATTTATTGGCAAGTAAAACGCAAAACGCGATAAAAAAAAATAAATACAACAAAAACTAATATACATACATACCTATAACCAACCAGTGTATTAATAAGCGAAGCAATGAGGAATACCAACAGCAAAAACAACAACACTTGCCGTGTCAGTGGCGGTGCAGCGAAAGTAATTGCAACATGCCTCATCTTGAGTGTTTCCATGCAAATGTGTTGCGGCTCGGCGATACCGATTTGGGAATTTTTAACGCGTAATGAAAAGGTAAGGCAAAATGAATAACTTACAAAGAGGCAAGTAAGATTTTTGTATTGTATTTGTACTCTATACATACGGCAGTAGGCAGGTATGCGTTATTATGAATAAATGTAGGCAACAATAACACTCCATTAGAGGCTTCGCCGCCAGCTGTGTGGTCGACGAAAATATTGTAATTAGTTTCGAATTAATAATTAATTACTTTTATTATTATAACAAATAAATAAAAGGAAAATAAAAAAAAATTAAAATTAAAAGAAAAATAGAGAAATTAAATAAAATAATTTAAAATAAAATTTTATTAAACTAAATAAGTAAGAAAAAACAAAAACAATATAAATTTCAATAAAAAGAAGTTGAATGAAACAAAAAAATACAATGATATAAAATAAAATAAAATTAGCTTAAACTAAATAAGTAAAAAGGAAAAAAATTAAAATAATAATTAATTAATATAAATTATTAATTTAATTTAATTTATATTAATTAATTATTATTTTACTTATTTCTTTTTTACAAAACAAAACAAAAAAATGGAATGAAACAAAATAAAAGCAAGAAACAAAACAAAAATATATTAAATTGATAATAATGAAAAACCAATAAATAAATTTAATTAAACAAAATAAAATAATGTAATATGCATTCAAATAAAATGAAATAAAATAAATTAAATAATATTAGAGAAATAAATGAAAATAAATTAAATTAAATTAAATTCAATAAAATAAAATTGAATTAAATTAAATACATTGAAAAAAATTAAAAAAAAAATCAATTTGAATTGAGTCAAATACAATGACATTAAATTAAATTAATTAAACAAAATAAACATATAAAAAAAATAAACAATAAAACAAAATAAAATAAAATAAATACATACAAAGTACTGCAAAATAATTATTATATTTTATTTTATATTATTATTTTATAAAAAAATAATTCAAATAAAATAAAATCAAAATAATGAAATTAAATTTAAATGAAAAAAAGAAATTGAAATGAAAGAAGTAAGTAAGATAAAATAAACCAAATATATTAAAATACAATCCTTAAAAATGTAAGCAAAACTCTCAGTTAGGACCTTTGGACATCCGCTCAGCGGCACATATGTATATATGTACAAAAAATACCTACATACATATATTTATTTACATATTGTTTTTAACAAGTTTATGTTTTTTATTCATAAATTTTATCGCCAACTGGTTTTCGGTGTACGTGCTTACGTAAATTACTTTTTATTTCACTTTATTTTGTTTATTTAGTTTTCTTTTTACGAATTTCGGGTTGTGATTACTGCGTTGTTGTTGCTTTAAAGTAAATTTTTTCGGAAGAGTTGAAATGAAAAAAATATACTTGAGCTTAATCTCGTGCATGAGCTAAGGATTTTAGAAACCAGTACGTACTTTCGAGTTATTAAAATCTTATTTATAATGGGGAGGAGCACAGGCTCGAATCCTAGCCACCATAATATACAAAATAATGGAAAAAAGACTAATTACAAATAAAAATCTTCCGATAAGAATAATTCAGCCTTTCGGAGGCAAAATCCGTTGCAGCGATTATAAGTGAGGAACTTTACACAGATCAAATTGTTTTTAGACTACACCTTTGCAACCCATAATCGGAAACAATAATGAAATAAATTAGTGGGATGTTTGCTACTCTTGATTTTGTCCAGAAAAAGAAGACTCCTTGAAGACTCTTGGTACCTCCATTTGTTGAAAAAACATCAAGACGCAAGCCCTAAAATGGAAGAGGGGTTCGGCCGAAAGTAACTTCAGCGGTCGCAAAGCAACGATTATATATATATATATGTATATATATTTACTAGTATATATATTTACTAGTATATAAGTGCCAAAAAAAATAAAAGCCATCATGAATGATACTGCAATATTACTGCCTACAATACTCGCTTGAAAGTATTAAAGCTCTCACGGTGCTATAGACCACACGAAACAATCGGAAATCTTAACTTAAGTATTTTCTTTAAAAATCGAAAATAAAAAATAAAAGCACTTACTTATACGAATTATAATGAATGCTTATATGAAAAGAGACCAAAAGGCGTGAAAATATTTCTTATTCACTTATTTGCATTTTTTATCAATATTTTTGTGCTTACATACATACGTGTACATGAATATATACAGCATATCATCTACTATAACGTAAGTGACCTACCCTTCATCATCTTAATAAATAAATGAATAATTCATAAATATTTGCACAAATTAATAGAATTAAACGTTCATGAGGTTAAGAAGACACCGATGCGTACAAGTTTTGTAGCATAACGATTGACCCAAAAAATGAAAAAGACATAAATAAATAAAAAAGAAAACACAATACACCAACTGCATCAAGGGCCTTCGCAGCAATCACAGTTCGAGAGCTTTACAGTGCGAGCGGCATTCTTGAGTATGCAGATGAAGAAACAAAAACAACAAGAACTTGAAGTAGAGGAAAGGTCAACGCTACCACCAATACATGAACATAAATATATACATACATATGTATGTATGTATGTACGAGTTATGCTTAACGAAAAAAGTGCATGAAAAATACAAATTAAGCAAATAAATACTTTTAATACACTTCATTTACATACAAACATACGTATATACAATATGCACATTGCCGGTTAACTGCTAATTTCCATCAATAAGCGATTGAAATGCAAATATTGCACCAGTTACAACAATAAAATTAGACGCCATAATATTTATTTATTAATTGCTTATATGTATATGTGTATGTGCATACATACAACTGAATATTTAATACAGAAATATCACAACACAACACGAGTAAGTGGCAAAGCGCTTGGATTGAACGAATAGCAGTTAATTTGTTTATCGCATATTTAATATCTCGAAAACTGCTATTCCGTATGCGATTATGCTAACTAAAGCGGAACGAAAACAGCATGGCTCAGCGACAACAATAACAACAACAATGAAGACGATACCAAAGCGATAACAAACTGAACCGTTAAAAGATCTTCTTTTTTTCATTTTTTTCTTTTTGTTTTGTCCAACGTTTATCAAATATAAAATTCAAGCTTATGCATTCGAAATATGATATCACTCATATTGACATACATACGTACATGCATAATTATATATGCATATATATATTTATTTATATAGATATATGAATATAATACACAACAACTAAGTCTGTGCACGGAATCCGATTTAATTTCAAGTGGACTTTTGTTTCGATTTTATTTTAAATTTTCAATTGTGAATTGCTTTTGAATTGAGTCGTCAAACTTGATCTGGCGCTTTGACTTTTTAATAAATTTTTTTTTAATATTATTTGTTGCTTTTTTTTGTGTTACGATGTTGCTGATTTTATCATTGAACTCGAATCGACTTATCGATTTTTTGTGCTAAATAGACCTAAATTACTTGAGAAGAATGCAATGCTATCAAAGTCGTGCAGACACACATGCACACATATGTACATACAAACGGACGAATATGCGGTTATTAAAGCAACGGTGTTACCATCGCCGTCTATTACACAAAGCAGCAATGCCAAGGTAACGAGCGACTGCATTGCCATTGCCACCGGCTGGCGGTCGATTCATAATAGGAACCTGTAATATAATAACAGAAATTCGTGTTTATATTCATACAAATGTATGTATGAGTATGCACTATAATATACATATATATATACATATCTATAAATGCGTTCGTGATGTGGTATTGTAGAAAAAAGGAGGCTTTGCAGTTCATTTATATTTATTATTCAATTTTATTTTGTATTGAATGCGTACGTTAAATGTTACCATTAAGCATTTGTCGGTTAAAAAATAGCCAAAATTTTTATTTAAATATTATTTAAGAATAACCGTATATTATTAAGGATTTCACGATAGTAAAGTTTGTAAGCTAGACGAACAGAATCGGCGATTTTAGCAACGAAATTTATCCAGGTAATAAAAGTAAACGAGCTTTTTGTTATTGTTGCTGGGGCATATGAGTAAAAACCGGTATTTTTGGAATATGAGCCCCTAATCAGGATCACGATTATTTATATCTTTTCTGAACATGAAATGATATGTTAACTATGGTCCAGAAAAAGAAGAGATAGATAGGCCCATCGAAATTCATACCGATCGGATCAGAATGACGAGCTTAGTTGATTTAGAAATGTACGTCTGTCGGCAAGGACGCAAATTAGTACCTCAGTTTTGAGATATGTCAATCAAACTTGGTACATTTAAGTGATAAAGCCACTGTAGAGGCTCAAAAATAGAGCCATTTTCCAAAATTTCTTGTAGGCATATGGGAAAAGTAATGGAATTTTGCACTGAACATATATTGAAGTATAAAAAATATTCTTTAATTATTTGTTTGTTACAAAATGGCGGTGATAGAGTCCATTATTTAATATATGTTTCTTTAAAAGGCGTGCACGGCAGGATCGATTTCTTCTAAAGGATGAGATCTAGAACAGAAAAGCAGAAAATTTTTATGATCGAGAAACTATGGTCTTTGGAAATACGTAGGGATTTATTTTTTAACTAATTTTTGTGAAAGCGGAGCACTTTTTTAAGTTTGATTTTTGTTTAAAAAATAGTCATTAAATGATTAAAATAATTAAAAAAAAAAGTAAAGTAAAAGTAAAGAAGTTACCATCGAAATTTCAGATAAATTGATGAAATAGGATCCGAATAATCTGTCCTCCAGTTTGAAAAATGTGATTTTGAGAAAAACGCGTTTAAAGTTTTCACTGTACTCAGCACACGCTCTAAGGAGCTGCTGCAAAATCAAAACCCAAAGATACCCTGTGAGCAAAAAAAAAATTGCCTTTTCCAAAATCCTAAATTGGTTTTATCCCTTCAACGATCATTTGTCGGAACCGGCCAGATTGACCACTATAGCATATAGCCGAGCGATTTTTCAGATTTTAGATTTTAGGTCACATATTCGCCAAAAATGCACGTAAGAGCATGGAATTTGGAAAGTTATTGAAATCGGACG